TGGTACTAACTGTTAGACCAAAGTTGTGGGAAGCATTAGGAAAGCAGTCGACAGTCGATACTCATTTCAACGGGGACTCGGTGACAGCGTTGAGCATCCAGTCATCTGCGAAAAAGACATCACACACTATAGCCTCTTTGAGCTTGGTCATTGCCTGTAGCCTACCCAAGTAAATAGTCTTTCATCGGTCCTGTACCTAGTAATCAGGATACCACCATCACTTTCTTCGACGTTGTAGAAGAAGTCCGCCAACAAATTGACTGTTAGATCCTGCTTAACAGTGTGGAGGTAGCGACATAGCCTTGCTTGAGTCCGTTAGTGACTGGAAATGCTTCAGAGGAGTTTCCATTGTCCAGTACTCGAGCAAGCATGTCATCGTGGAAATGACGCACCATACTGTTGAACTTATCTGGACAGCCAAAGTTGCCACGATTTTCCACACTCCCTAGCAGTTGACAGTGTCAAAGGCCTTTGTCAGGTCTATAAACTTTATGTCGAAATTTCTATACTGTTCTTGACACTTTTCCTGAAGTTGCCGTGCAGCAAACGGCACCATGTTGGCAGTTTCACAGCCCTTCCAGAAGCCATACGCACTCTCTGGGAAGTGGCCATTGGTTGAAGAGGATTCTTGCAAGGATCTTTCCAGCGATGACTATCAGAGGAATCCCTCCGTGATTGCCGCACGATTGCCTGTTTCACTTTCACTTATATAGGTGGGCAATGGCTTCAACGTTGATGGACTAGGGCGTATTTAGGACGCTGAGGAAATATTCCACCCAACTCTCCAGGATGGCGTTATTCTCACTATGTAGCATTGTTCCCTCTAGTGGTGATGTTCCAGAGGACTGAGGCCCATAAATGTTCCTCACGGCATTATAGAAGCGTTTAGTTTTGTTATTGTCAGCATCTGCCTTTTTATTGAAACAGGAGTCACTGCGCCTTGAGGTTAGTTGTACATGTTGAGTTTTCAGGTAATTCCCGGCAGTCTGCTCTGCACATCGCCCTTGTCACTCTAACGTCCTGCCTGTCTCTTCTCCAGACGAGAACGTAATCGATCAGATGCCAGTGCTTGCTGCGTGGGTGCATCCACTACGTCTGTGTGCAGGTGGGTAAACGATAAACTGCATGTGAGATGCACAGGTCTCCAAAAGTAACAGTCCATTACTGTTACATCTCCTAAACCCATTTCTCCCTATGACTCCCTCCATTGCCCACTCTAGCATGAGAGGCGTAGACAATAATGCATTTGTCCTACTTTGGCACGCCTTCGATGATGTCTTTTAAGTCCTTGCAGAATTTATATTTCATCTCCTCAAGATTCGTCATTGTTGGAGCATATTTACTGATAACAGGGGCGTAACGGTTTCCTCGGCGAGAGAGCCGAAAAGCCATGCGGCGATCGTTGATTCCTTAGGGAATTTTGTTAAATGTACTGATCAGATATGTTTTGACGGCAGATCCCACTCCTGGTTGACGATGTTCTTCACTGTAGCGATCGATCGAGAAAAAGCCAGGCTTCGATCAGCTGACTTTTATTTGCTAACCTTGTCTCACTACGCTGGGATATGAATGTTGTATCTGCCCAGTTCTCTTGCAACTAGAGCTGTCCGTCTCAGGTCTGTAAACTTTGGTGCTGGCCATGAGCGTATGCACATTCCATGTGCCGATCGATCGCGATGTGAGCTTTGTTTTCATCTTGATGTTTCGACCGCATAGATAGGATCCCCTCCTGCCGCGGTAAGCTAAGGCAGCCTTTGTTGGGAGCATCTTTTCTAGCCCCTTCCTCAGGTGATGGAGGAACACAGAAGAATTCCTAAAGGGGAATGCTCAGACATTCAGGGGAGATGCCGAACTCCACCGCTCCTTCAGTCCAGTAGCGAACGAACCTAGTATGTTGTGACCACAGCTTCCAGTGGCAGTGAATCTGCACCTGCGGCCTCGCCACACGCCCTTTGCGACAGAGCTTTAAGGATAAGTGGGTATTATATCTCAGTCACTTGCACGTGAATTGGATTAAGGTGTGGAAGAGTTGCGCCGTGTCGTGAGCCTCACTCTCTCGCCCTGAAAGTTTAGGCCCTTGCGCGGGACATAGGCGAGGTGGCTGGAGATAAAGCAGGAAGCTTTACAGCACCAGCTGCATGCGAACCGTTGGCTCATAATAAGCTTATTCGTCCTTTGGCCTCGTCCTGCTGGGTGACTCCACACCATTCTAAAATGTAGGGGCCGCAACCAAAATGGCTCAGTTCTAGCTCTTTGATAAGGCAGAGTAGTGAACGTGACCCTAATCTTATAGTTCGTGATGGATGATGGACTTTTATTAGAGACTTCAAGTAGTCTACCAACTGGCCATTTATGGTCTTGTAGTGAGATTAAGGGGAGACTGTTGAATTCGCTCCTTTTCTGAACTGGTAGCCAGGGCACGTTTTTTTGATAAAGGCGTGCAATGGTCGAAACGTCACTAGAACACATCATATAACGCACTGCAGTATTCTGAATTTTTGAAGTTTATCTTTTTGATATTAAGGTATGCCATATAAAACACTGTTGCAGTAATCTAATCGAGAAATAACAAGAGCATTAATTAACCAAGTAAACATCCTATTGATCTTATTGCTGGAGTAGCAATTTTACAAACTTCATTGATGTGAGCACTAAACGACAAATTATTATTCATTATGAAACCTACGTTTCTAGCTTTCTTCTTAAAGTTAATTCCTGTAAATGTAATGGTTGCTTCGTAAACCATGATGGGAAATGATTGCGTAGCTTAGGCCTGTGCCAATTGTGCTCGGCAACTTTTCAGCAACTTTTAGCGTTTGGAGCAACTAAGTCGAGCAACCGAGAGTAATTTTTGAGCAAAGTATAGGTTTAGAGCTCGAGCACATATCAAGCATGAAAAAGTCAACGATTTCATAGAAAACTTCAAGGATAGTCCTCTCTACTAAATGTTTAGCAACCTTAAAACACACAGCCTCTCACTTGTCCACGTTTCGCAGGCCTGAAAAGGAAATTATTACCGCATGAACAATTATTTAATATCCTTAAATCTTCTCCCATATTAGCGAGCGATGCTCTAAATCTGGCTTCAAGCAATTTTTCTTGACCGTAAGCCTGTAAGCCCGTAAGCCCTGTAAGCCCGTAAGCCCTGTTAACCCTGTAGCCCTGTTAGCCCTGTAAGCCTGTAAGCCCTGTTAGCCCTGTAAGCCTGTAAACCCTGTAAGCCTGTAAGCCCGTAAGGCCTGTAAGCCCTGTAAGCCCGTAAGCCCTGTAAGCCCGTAAGCCCTGTAAGCCCTGTTAACCCTGTAAGCCCTGTTAGCCCTGTAAGCCCGTAAGCCCTGTAAGTCCTGTTAGCCCTGTAAGCCGTGTAAGCCTTGTAAGCCCTGTAAGCCCGTAAGCCCTGTTAGCCCTGTAAGCCCGTAAGCCCTGTAAGGCCCTAAGTGACGTTGCCATGGCAACCACTTTTAGATGAAGGAATCTAGCTAATTTTAAATAAGAGTAACCCTTATGTTAATTTCTAATCTGTAAGCCTTGTAAGCCCTGTAAGCGGCTTACACGAAAGCTTACGCTGAAAACCTGTCCGTAAATCGTGCCTGGTATATAAAGCAACGGTGAAGAAATGAGAAATGCTAGAGGCCAGCAAGGTGAGAAATAGCGGCAGTGAAAAATAAATGCGAGCATGAACAGAGGAAACAAAATATTGCGTAAGCTCATACGACAATTCCCGCATAAAAATGATGTGTAACTAAGACGTTTGACGTTTTAGTCCTACAAAACAGCGTTGTAGTCGTGCAAAACAAAGGCAAGGGAAAGACAATTTGTTTTTTTGCTAATTGGAGGAAAAGGGTGCTGCACGTGCAATTTGTTTTTTGGCTAATTACATCTATTAGTATTGAAGCCATTTTCATTGTTGTCCCCGTTTAGCATTACACGATTTAGTTCATTTTGTTTACACATATTATTAACAGAGCTTCGCTTTTAGCCCCAGCGATTGCTCGCTTTTATGAGCAAAATAACAACTCTACACGTGCTTTAGTCTGCTTTAGGCTAGATTACCAGCCGCTGTTCGGTAAATGGGTTCGCGCTCCTCCCTGACCCGAGAGAGCGGAGGAAATCGAGCCTAAACGTAGTCTGCTACACCGACAGCCGTTTTTAGTGTCGTCACACAACGGAGGAGCGTTGCGTGACGACACTAAAAACGGCTGAGCAGACTAGCCTAAACGCGAATTACACTTTTAAGCACATTTTTTCTCCTCACCGCATGACTACAACTTGAACTTGCTTTTAAAAATTAACATTTTACGGAGGACCTAAACAAACGACGACGAATTTTTCTTTCTTTTATAATTATTTGCCTTGAATGCGGTGTCTAATGGTTCAAGTCCATCTCTAACTTAAATTCGCTACACAATATTACAGTGCTAATTAAGAAATCCTGTCTTTTCAATCACTACTTGTCTCTTTCATTCAGAAACAAAACGGTATACAATGGTTTATTGTTCGATATGTATTTTTTTATTGCACGTACTTAATAAAAGCGAAACCATTACCAATGCTGGATGGGTACTGGGTACTCTCTGAAGTCGCAAAAAATAATTCCCGGCAAGAAAAACCAATCTGTCCTAATCGCAAAAAATAGTCCCTGCAAAACACAAAAAATCGCTAATCCGCAAAAATTTCATGTCACACTGTAGTACGGTTCTAATTTAAGCAAAAACAAGAGCCTGATAACCAAGAAAAAAAAAAGAAATCTTATTGCGGATATTGCGATAAAAAACAGACAACGACTAATATTTGCGTCGTAAGAAAAAAGAAAAAGAAAAAAAACATCAGTTTATTAATAGAATTCATGGGGTACACTTTAGCTACAAGTTTGGTTAAAAGTGACCAGCAGCAAGCGGGCATATCATGTTTCATCTGTTTCATGAATGGAAGGATGAGAAATGAAAAGCAGGGAAAAAATATGGAAATTGCACCACTCGACTTCACGGGGTACCAGGTTACCAAGCTTCACATGTGTTTCAATCATGGCGGCCCTTCTGCGATTCGGTGCTGCACGAGCTTGTAGAATTTTATCAGCATATGGTGTACGAAACACAGCGATTTACCAACGAAACTCACCATCCTTTTACAAGGAAAATATTCTGAAGGCATGCCATCCGTCCGTCTCTGGGTGTAGATATTGGTCGAACGACATTTCAGCAAGCGCGGACCCCGGTGAAACTGTCGAAAATTCTACAGAGGGTGAGAGTGCTGCCGAAGATAGGAACAGAAGCCTTGGGTGGAAAGACAGACCTAGCTTAAAAAGAGGCGGGGATTTTCAGTATGAGAGGCAAGTCAGGCAGCTTGGAACACTTGTGATGAAGCCGGTTTTGTTAAGGGTTTTCAAAGAGATTCTTCACAGAGGTAGGCAGGCTAATATACACTGTAAGCTAAAGTGAGCTTACTGTTATGTCAGTTGTATGGATACAGGTGTTTGTGGATAATCATGTGAACCCAGCTTTTTTATTGCAGTAATTTCACTTGTTTTTAATAATAATGTTAGATTTAGCTTGGTAACCATTCTGGATACAACTGACATAATTTTACTATTATACAGTACAACTGTAAGTACTGTACGCGTAAGCTTACATAACACCAATTACAACAAAATGTCATTATTGTTCAAATATTTTATGTACAGTACAGTATAAGTCCTAATTACTACTGTAAAGATGAAAAGAGCTAAGTTGAGCTTTTTTGAATTGGAATCATATGTGTAGATTTGTAGGGAATGACAAAATAATTTGTTTAACTTGTAACACTCTGTATAGCGATAATGGTTCAGTTTATGTACCTTAAGGAAAAAGATTTGTCTGACAAAGCCAGCTGGACTGATTTTTGTCATATATCCCAAAGTTGGACCTAAGATGGATGCAAGGAAAAATAATATCTTGAAACAAAACTGTGTAATCTTTACCAATATTTCTCATCATTACAAATGTATTATTTTGTTAGAGTTTCATGTTTAAATGGTAAGTTCTTCTAGCTATCCAAATTTTGATAGTTTTATGCTCTGGAATCTACGATTAAATCATCATAAAGTTTTTACAGTGCCTGACATGTGCACTGTTTGTTTGGAAGCCACCATGCTGGGCTAGAATTCCTTCTTTTGTTTAGTATATTTAAATAAATGGCAAAATCAGCCACCTATTTATCAATCAAGCTGCCCTCTTTGAAACTTACTGACAGCCGAATGTTGGCATCCTTCTTGTTTATACTGACCAAGCTGTTGAAGCTTACATGTATATGCTTCATAGAGAGTATATTGTCTTATTAGCTGACCAGTCTCCGGGGAAGATTGTAGTGTAATTGTTGGGTATGACCTGCCTGCATGTTGTTAACTGTATTCTAATTTTTGAGTACATGTAAATGTGCACAGGACAAAACTGATTTGATTCTAAATCATTTATATTTATTTTAAATTTTCATTTGTGTGCAATCTTAGCCCTTGTGATAATTACCAGTATCATCACTTTTTAGAGGGTGGAATATCATCCTTACAAGCCTATCAAGTTCTACGTAACTGTGGTTCAGAGTTGTTGTATGAAAAACCAGAGTCAAGAGTGGAGCTAGCACATCATTTTTGGGATCAGTTTATGGAAATAGGTGAGTACTCCATCTTAAAATGCACATTGTTTATACATGAAAAAGTCATTTATATGTACCTGTTATATGGAAGAACATAGTTTTTCTTATGCACAAATACCAGTTTAAAGCTGATGGGATAAAGCAATAGTCCTTGTATCTCTGACTTTGAGCATAAACAAGTTCATTATTTTAAGTTCATTGTAGCACCATACTTTGCCATGCTGGTCTTGAAGAACACCAAATGGCTCTCCAAGGCCCTCACATTAAAGGGTGTGATCTCAAATCCAAGAGCTGGCTTCTGAATAATGCTTACATGTTCATGTAGGTTTTCCTAGACTCTTTTTTTGTGAAAATTGTTTCTAAGAATTTAGCTGTTCGTATCTAGTTTTGCTCACAAAAATGAAAATGACAAATCTATAAATTGTCTATGTTATTCATTATGTACAATGTACAAGGGTACCAGACTCTTATTACGTGGTTCTGGGACTCATAGTTGTGGGCCTGGGACTCATAGTTTTATAGTTGTGTGAGTTCCAGGACTCACTATCTAGCTGTTTTCTTGATACATCACTGTACAGTGTACATGTATATTGATACACCTGCATCCAATTTTGTTACACAGCTTTACATTTTGGTTCTTCTACTTTTAGGTGTCAAACCAGATGTCATGCTCTACAACGCGCTCTTATCTGTGTACATTCAAAACAACCATAACTTCAATCCACTGGAAGTTTTGGAAAAAATGGAGAAAAACACCATCGAACCTAACAGAGTATGGCATGAATAATAAATCTGTACACTTGTTGATGGTTAATTATCTTTTAAATACATGTAATATTAGTACAGACCAACCTGTATATGTGTTGCTAATTGACTACGTACCTAATATAGCTGGTTGAATGTTCAACAAGGCTTACTTTTAACAATACTAAGAGTTGATCAAGAAAATAAAGACGGTGACAAATTAAAATATCCATCACAAAACAAATTGACCTCAAAGTGTTTCTACTTCTTTTGTGTCAAAAGAAAGGAATAAGTACAGTAAAAGACCACTCAATCTCATGAATAGTGTACTTGTACATTTTTCTACAGCTGTACATTATTCAACCTATGATACATTTTTATTACATCTTGACCAAGTCACTGTTAAAGAGAGGCTAAGACAATGTTATACAGTCAACTCTCTCTAAGATGGACACCTTTGGGACCGCCACTAGCCGTCCGTCTTAGAGAGATTTCCGTCTTATAGAGAGTCAAATAGAGGGAGGAAAGAAAGGCAGGGACCAACTCTAGGTGTCTGTTTTAAAGAGGTGTCCATCTTATAGAGGTGGCTGTTAAGAGAGTGTCGACTGTATGATTTTTTGAGACCTCTGAAAAGGTGACTGCAACCGCTTAATGAAGTGACTGCTCCATACAGACAAGTTTTACTGGTAAGGGAAATGATTCTGGCACTGCACTCTGATACTGTAAGTGATGACCACTATACTATACATGACTGTACATGATGATACATTACTGTATACATAGGTTCATTTAATATAGGCTTGATGGCACATTGTAGCTGGGTCATTGTGAGAGTCACTTTTCTTTTTTTTACACAGACTACCTTACTGCTGCTTATGCAAGGTTATGCACAGAAAGGGGACATTGCTGGAGCTTTGTAAGTGTTGCAGTCCATATTCTGCTCTGTACCAAACAGTATTTATAAAAATCCTTAGACTTCTAGGGTTGCATATAGCAAAGGTTTTAAAATATAATGTAGATAGCAGGAATTTTTTTTGCCATACATTAAATTACTCTAAGATCATATAAAAACATTCTTTATCATGTGTTTAGGTTGCTTATACACACAGGGCTGCAAATAACGGCCAGTCAACGGACAATGTCCAGCCTGATCGCGGACTTGACCGGTCAAACTCCGCTCTTGCCGGTCATTTTGACCGGTCATTTTTGGATACAAACACTTTATTTTCCATACAGTTGTCGCTTAATGCTCTATAACGCTGCAATGATTTCTTTTTTCTTTGGTGTTTTTTGCTGCTTTGCACTAAGACCTTCTAAGAAAAAGAACGCCGCAATAAATTAATTTCATGTCGTCATGCCGTAATCTAACGCAACAAAGTGAATAACAAACTGAGTTGGAAAGTAACGCAACGTTGCAAGTCGTACTGTACTTTTGGCTTTGCTGTAATCAGCAATATGACCTTCTTTGGGAATTCGAAGGAATTCAGGCAAATCGATCGCAATTCTCAACAGGTCGTCCTGTGTTTCTCCCAGAATAAATATTAGCGTATCGATTAATAATAATTTCTTTTATGTCGAACATGAATCTCGTTTACAGACTCGATTCCAAAATGGTCTGATAAAAATTTAAGCTAAGTTCTTGTAAACAACTTTATGCAAATTTCTGTTGACATTTGCGCGATGACCCAAATTTATTTATTGACTTCTGATCATTAACACGCTGTTTGTGGAACAAACTTCTCGCCAATGCAAATCAACTTCTTTGCCGAAAATATCAGCGACGATTCTTCTTTGAGGAAGTGACTTTCAATCACGTGCCAGGCAAGGAAAAAGATCAAGTTTTACCGATGTTCATTTCGCAACATCAACGTAAAACAAGCGTGTGCAGATTTTGTAAAATAACCCAATTTTTTTTTTGTTTCGTAATTTCTAACGTTTGCTGAACTGTATGTGTATTCCGTTTCTTGAACCTTGGGAGTTTGAAAAGGATTTACACTTCACTTTTTACCTCTAGAGACTTCAGACACCGCCGTGCAATGATACTCAAGGTAGAACGTAACATTAAAACGAGCGAAAACCGCGGAAAGGAACTCGACAACATGCGAATGCATTTTTCACCAATTTGCTGTCAAAAATGTGAACGTCAATGTAGTAATAACGATCTATTGCCAGCATAATTGGATATTCCTTAGGCAAAAAAAATATTAGTATTCATTATTTGACCGGCCAGAATCGGGGTTTGTCCGGGCTAAAAAATATTTGGCCGGTCATCATGACCGGCGACCTGCTGTCCGTTATTTGCAGCCCTGTACACATGCTGTGTGTTAGGCACTTTCAATATATTTTCATGTATTTCCTTGCCTGGTGGTGCTTTCCATGAACCATAACTATCAAGACAGACCAGTCATTTTGAAAATGACGTGTTAGTGTTTTACCAAAATTTAAACTCAAACCCATCAGTGCACTTATTGTTGTAAAAGTTAATTTTCAGTTTTGTTTGTTTTGCTCATTTGTTTTGTAAACTGAGTCACAAAATTATAATATGAAATTTACCGGATGGTAAAGGCAGTTAATGGAACATGATGTCCCAGGGGTGTAGGCTGAGGTAGCCTGCCCTGATGTATGCACGCTTGTATCCTTAGAGCCTTATTCAAAACTGAAAACATGCTACTCTTTAAGCTGCAAACAAAAGCTGTTCATGGCTGTAACCTTACTAATTTGTGGAATGTTTGTCATCGTACACATGTACATGTTTTATCATCGCACAGATGGGTCTCTGTTTTCAAGGCCCTATTCATGACTAGACTGTTACCATGATAAGACTAGGTAGCTTATGGTACAACTGTATCTATTAATCAGAATGTAAGACACTGTCTTGCTATAATCGTTCTGCTATGCCACACCTGGTCTTTTTTCAGGTAGCTCCCACAAAAGCAAACAGTTACAATTATTTTGTTACCTGCTCTTCCTCCCTTTGGAGGAGTTATGTTGTGCTATGTATATCAATAAAAGTTTGACAGGTCACTCCTTATGGTACGGTTAAGTCTGCATTGTGACTTTCCCCAAGCTTTTGCTGGCATTGCTTGTGCCTTTCCATCTATTTCTTTGCCTTAATCTTGTCCGATCCAACCCATGCAGCACTGGCTAATACTCCTGCATGTCCTACCCCGTGGTAGTGGGGTGATAAGTGAGGCTTGTGTATTGTTGTGTGCATAACCTGAAGTCGCTATTACGTGCCACAGGATTGTGCCCCCCCCCTTTCCCCTTATAGCACCATTTTGTAATTATTTTCTTATTTAGCTTGTGGGCATTATTTATTAGTTGTGTGACTTTTTCATGTGAATTTTAAGAGGAATAGTGACATTAAGCACCACAAAATTGAAAATAAAGTTATTATTGAGCTGACTCTTAACAAGCTTTCAGGAAATCTGCAAAAAAATTAAAATAAAAACTTAGTCGTGATAAGTTTTTGTGTGTACCACTTAGTGCTTGTATGTAGTAGCTAAAGAAAACTGTGTTCATTTCAATTTCTGGTTATTTTTTATAGTAAAGTGCTGGAGTTTATTAAAGCTGCTCAAATGCCTCTGACTGAGCAGGTGTTTGCAGCACTCATCACAGCTTATGGATTTAATGGGTAAGTACTATTTAAAATGGCCCCTTAATAATAATTAAAATAATACACTTACTACATGTAAGTTATGATACTTTTAAGCAAACTAATAATAACAATAATAATAATTATGATAATGATGAAAGTAGGTGAATGGTAAAGGCGCACATGCATCAAAGGCCCAAACAGCAGGAGCTTATCCTTGTTTCCTTAGTACGAAGCATGCCTAGGAGTATTGCTACTCCCCCCTGGATGGGATGTTAGCTAGTCCATTGCTGGGTTACACTCCAGCAGTATGTCAGTGTTATGCATCTAATACACCTGGGTGAAGAGAGACAAAGTGGATTAAAGTTCCTTGTCTAAGGAAACAATGTGATGGACGAGGCTTGAATCTTGGACCTTCAGATTCAGAGTTCAAGGTGTTAACTGTTGGGCCACACACTCCTCCAATAAGTTAATGATATTAATAAGGAAAATAATACATAAATTATAGAATTCATGATCCATCACCTTAGTTTACTTGTACTTTTTGCACAGTAAAAATGGTCTATATTCCGATGTTCTCAGGTTTTTTTGGTTTCTATGTGTATCTTTTTGATGAGTTAAAGCTTTGTTATTAGATACATGTAATAGTTACAGTGACATGAAATATACATCTGTTTACAGCGATCGTGAAAGTGCAAGGGGTGTATTTGATCTCATGAGGTAAGCTCAAGTGGCATCAGCTGCATAGACAGTACAGTATAGATTGGTGTTCTGGATTATCTGGGTAATAATCTCATTATAAGTAGCAGTTAATCAGTTTGAAGTTTCAAGGTGTGTAATTTCAAAATTTTACTTGTTATTTGGATTCTCAATTTGCGAGACCATTTACCCCTGATGAGTCCAGATACCTGTACAGCTGTAATTAATTAGTTCCTCAATACTCTATTCTTTCGCCCCTTCCCACATTTCATGGCCACAGGACTAAAGGATGTGTGCCATAAACTTAGCACAGGAACCCAGTGTCTGCTTTTCTCCCTGTGATACCCATATTGCAGACTTGCATTGTACTCGATCGCTTACACTAGCCTATAAACCCAGCTAGCCCTCCGTGTTTTTGACAGCACTCAGTCCTGGACAACACTTGGCTACTCCCCTCTCTTTCTCTCATACAATTTGCATCCTACATGCTGTATTGAATTGCACACATGACATTAAGTGAGAAAGGAAATGAAACACGTGTCTGATCTCTACAGGGAAAATGGATTGGAACCAGACTTGGACAGCTACACTGCTCTGTTGGCTATGTATGGTGAAGCAGGAGACATGGAGTCCATTATGAAGGTGAGCTCACTCAGTTCACATACATGTACATGCAAAATCAACTGGGAGCCATTCCAAGCCATGCAACCATGCAGCCCGACCTTTATTGTATCAACACCACAATTCACTAGACTGTGTTACAGCACAAAAAGAAAGCTGCTGTAATAAAACAACTAACATGAAACTGAGCCTATCTAGTACGTACATGTATTAAAGATAAAAGAATAGCCAGAACTAAGGCACTACTTGAAATCCTACAACAATCCAGAAAACACCGGAAGTGTGTGTTTGTACACAGTTATGTGAATTTTTTCCCTGCAACACCTGTCTTCCTGTTTGGTTTAGCTTTCATATATACATGTATTGAGCTGTGTAATAGTCCAACATTGGTATCGTAAGGTGGCTCAATGAGTTCTTTTAGGTTCAATACCTCTGGTGTTTGAGCATTAAGCCACATCTCAATTAACAAAGATTTAGAAAACTAACTACCGCAGCTGTATAATAGTGTTAATGATCAAAATGAATTTGTTATATAAGCTGGTTACAATGACATCGGAGTTGTCATAGCAATGAAATGAGGCCATTACCTATCAAGCCACCTTTAATAACATTATTCATGGTTGCATTTAATTACTACATTTGTAGTAATTTCATCATTTAAGAGCAAAATATTTATCCATTTTTCTTGTTCATATAATTTCCTTGTGCTGCAGACAGTGAATGAGATGCAAGAGAAGCGAGTCTACCCAAACAGGAAAGTGTTTTTATCAGTACTGGATTCCCTTTCAAAACGTGGACACCTTGGACCAATAAGAGATGTATGAGTAACTTAATAGTAACTCTTTTTTGTGGTATTATGCAATGTACACAGCTTTTGAATTTGACTTGATTTTCTTCCAGCTTCTTCAAACACCCATTGTCAGGACTCTAGTGGAAGGAGGTAATTATTATCATTAAGTTCAGTTTATTTCAAAGTGTACACTATTATTAATTAATTATTATTTTAATCATACAAAATGTATGTTATTGTTTCAACTAATATACATGTACATGTAACAATAATAATAATAATAATATGTATTTTTCTATTTTGTGCACTGGCCTTGTATTTTAGTCTGCTGTTTTGTACTAAGTCTATAATAATCACAGTGAAATTTCATTTGAAAATTAATTTATTTTCTAGAGCATGATATTATTATTTTGTGTAGAAATTAGAATGACCAGACTTTAGACATTAGCTACATTGTATGGCACTTGAAGCCATGTTACGCACAAGGATGTACATGTTGTTTTTCTGCCATTTGACAGATTTAAAAGATCTCATGCTAGCTGTGGCTACTCGTGGTGAGATCAACAGTGCATTTATTTTCTTGGGACATATGGCAGAGACAGGTGGAAGCAGGAGAACACCTTTAAAGCCAGAGTTTGCTTTACTTAAACAAGTTATTTTATCAGGCCAGGTTGGTGAAGAAAATTAGCCTTTAATTAACTTGCTTGAATTATATCTGACATTACACATGTACATCTATATTTTGTTCTGCATACTCTTTAACTCCTCTAGCTTCTTTGTGAACTGTGAGGGGAATCAAACTGTTTGTTTCTGTTGTTGTTTAATTTATGGGAAGAATTGTTGCAAAGTTTACAAGTTCATGGAATAGCCCTTTTGAACTTACATGTATGCTCTTGTGGAGTAAGTTTCAGAAGCACCTTCTGAACTTCACAGAAATCAATACTTTTCTGACAAGAGTATGTGTACATGCAGTGGCCGGTGTTCTACTATTTTTCTTGTAAACTAAGAACTTCTGCCTACCAAAAAGCATCCTCCATGAATTTTGATGAATCCTCTGCTTTGTTTCTCCCTAGTCATTTTTAATTAGAGGGTTTTTGTGTTTGCATTTTTCCTGTAGCCAATAGATATTATTCTTGTTACAATTCATGAACTGGAGAAGTTGGGAGCTTTTAGAAATGTGTATGAGGATGCTTTGGATCTAACCTTTGACAAGAAAAATCCAGGTACATGTAACTTTGTTTGTACATCCCCTTTCTTTAATATAAAGGTAAATAACCTTTATTTTTGTAATCCGCTTTCTGTCTGTCTGCCTGCTCTGTTTTTTTGTTTTTGTTCCATAACTAAAGTGTACTGTATGAACAATAACGTAGTAATAACAATATTAATTATAAAGAAAAAATAAAAAGAAATAGAAGAAAAATAGAAGAAAAATACAACCAAAAGAAATCCTTAGCTGTTTGATTTCCCACTTACTTGTTGTATTTACCCAGCGACGTGAAATCTTAGAGACAGCCCTCTGACAATCACTTCTTCATTTTTTACCTTTGACAAAGTACAAAAATGTGTATCGCATTTTTCGTTTGCATAAATTTATTAGAGAATAGTCGTGCTATCTACATGCATAAATGAAGATTTTGATTTTTGGCTTTCAATTTTGATTTCAGACATCACTCTTGCTGTTTTACAAGAGATGCTACAAAAGGTTGGCTTATTTTTAATAGTTGCACTTGTTTGACTTAAATAATGACAGAGGTGTACGGTGTACCCTAAGGTTTTGTTTGTGTTGTGTTTATTTTTATCAAGACTTGCAGAAAACATTATGTCACTGTGTCATGTCACTTGCAAAGTTTTATTTCAGAGAGTAAATAATAAATAGAGCGACTTTCGTATGACGTTGAAAAATGGTTTCAGTAAGTGTTCGTTATTTGTTTTATCAGCTAATGGATGAAAAGATCAAGGAAAACCCTTATGGTTATGGAGAAGGCGTTGTTTGATTGGCCAATCGTGTTGCAGTGTGATGTCAAAGCGACTCTATAAAGTTCTCGGGCATGAAGTTTTTTCACCCAAGCGTTCGCTTAACCATTCAAACTGAGCCACGCGCGTTTGTATCCGTTCGATAAACCAACCAAATCGCTCTATTTCCGTTCGTTTGTTGTGTTGTTCGCGCGTTTTCATTTCAAAGTCATACAAAAGTCGCTCTATTGTAACTCATTCTTTGTGCACTGTTAATATTGTTTCTCTTTGATGCTACAGAAACTACGAGTGCGAACACATTACTTTTACCCGCTCTTAGCCATGTATGCCAATAATGAAAATGCCAAAGGTATGATAATTATGATTTACACTAAAGTAATTTTAAATTGTCTTAAGAATGTCAATATTAATATTGCATGAACAAATCATTTTTAATTGCAGGTGCACAGGAATTAGTAAATTTGATGGGAGACAATGGCTTTGAGATGGATGGCACTACGTATGTATTAACAATACTTTACCGCTTTACCAGGGTTTTTGTTTCCTATCAGAGCACTACACTGTTCCTGCAACTGTAAAGCGTACAATGAGTAGGTCTAGAAAATATCAAAATCCCTTCACCTCCCCGCTAGAAATTCCAGTAAAGTTAAATGCGCTCCTTTGAATTGTTTTTCCCGTCTTTGAGAACCATACCCCTTCTGCTTTTTGTCTCTACTCCTTTCTTGGCAAGTGATCAGGTATGATCGGACAGATGATTTTACACTTTTTCTGGGTTCTTGGATTTAGTTTAATGGAAAATGTAACAAAGTTATTCGCCATAAGCTCAGCAGTCTCTACCACTCAGCAGTCAAACTCAAAAGTGTAAGCATATGTGTTATGTTGATGTGTCGTTATAAGCAGGATTGTGGAGTTTTTTTTTTTTTTTATAGCAACTGTGTTGGCGCAGTTTGAAGCGATTGCTTTTCCTTCCACCTATCCATATCAGTGTGATGGGTGCCTGAAATGGCGGCTCATGGCCATGTTGCAGGGATTTGCCAGCCATGGGAGTTGATTCTATCTAGGATACGGGTAGATACCCCAGGCACTCTCCTTCCATTTAACAAGCTAAGGCAGCTAACTTACGAGGGAATCATTTTCTTTTCTTTTTTTCCGTTTCTAGCTTGAGGTACCTGGTGAAATCCTATGGCAATCCAGATGCCGATGACGTGGAGTCCTTTATAAATCTTTCTCAGGTGCTAACACTTTTTACCCTTCGGAAAAATGAGAACGACACTCAGTCATAGTAATTCTCAGGTTTTGCCTGCATGTTGTTGCAAAACATTTGAAGAGACAGAGTGGTACGGCACAGGGTTTCATTCTGTTCAGCCAAAATAGTTTTTTCAGCGTGCACATGCGCTTGATACATGCAAAGCGTAATGTCCATTCAATACACGTCCGAAAGATTTGGACTATTAACCTGTTGTCCCTCAGCATTGCATGGAAGCCAAGTGCAGGGTTATTACCAAATATTGACGAATGACCAGATTTACAATGATCTTCTAAATATTATAAATTACCTCACTAACAATTATCATTAAAATGTACACTTTTCCTCTTTTGCAAATAAATTGACCTCCATTATTGTCCAATTTGGAGAAGTGTAATTATAATGTTTTTTTGTTGTAGGATGTTCCTGTGTCTAAGTACATGCTGACAACAATGGCTTCATTAGTCATGACTACAGGGCAGCTAGATAAACTGCAGAAAACTGGTAAGCACAATAGCTTAGACCAAGATTAACCCATTCTCCACTGGGAATTTTGGCGAAAAACTTTTGGAAGCTAGTCGAACCGTTTTCTGGTCACTGTCTGGCTATAGTGAGCCAAAACTGCCCAAAAAGCTGTTTATTAAAGGTCGATTATTTCGCAGCCTTCTGTTCCAAATGCAAAATATTTGCTTCTGAAGTTCGGCCATGTTCAGAAATTAACAGTTGTAGGTGGGTTTGGGGTTTTTGATACAGTATTCTAGACTTTTCTTTTCCTTTTTCTCTCCTTCCCGTGAACAAGATAGGGTTAACCGAGAGCCTTATACTTCAAAGCGGAGGTCTTAGATTTCCCTGTAATGACCGAACGGACGAGATTAATATTAATTTTATTGATTATATATATGGCCTTTTTGGCCAAAAGAATGCAATAAAGTAATTCTCAACATTCGCTTGCGTGTGAAAGAGGCCATTCGAAACCTGGCGATGCGATCGAAACCATTCTTTGACAATGAGACAATTTTTGTCGTTATTGCCTCAAGATATAGGGCAAATTTAACCAATACTCGGTCATTACGGAAAATTTTGCCCGCTGAGCAGCCAATCAGAGCGTGTGTACTATTGTAGCCTTACAATAAACACAGTTTAACAGTTTAATACCCTGATTGTCTTTCTAGTCGAGTATGCTAAACAGGAAGGAATTAATCTCTTGTGCATATCTGATGCTTTTGGACAGTATCTTGCAAAAAAGTGAGCGAACCTTTACGAGATATACAGCTATTTCGAGAAAGGTTGTCGGAAAAAATGTGCATGCGACAATCCCGAAAGGTAATATGGGATATGATCAATAACCTGTTCCTGACACTGTAGCTGTCGAACCTATTATTAAAAACATATGTCCATGGCCTGTCGTGCCGTTCTTGCAAATTTCTTTGAAGAACAGTGAACTCAAAACCACCCTCAATACCTTTTGGCATTGTCGCGCGCACTTTTTCCGACAACCTTTCTCGAAATAGCTGTATATTATAACTAGGTGTGAGTACAGTTTAACCCTTCTAGCAGGTAGTTTTACAATTGCCATAAATAATTTGCTTGAAGGTACATATCCTCATTTCTAATGACATACACACGTATCCGGTATTTCAAAATTCCCAATTTTTTCTGTGCGGAGATCGGCTTCCGTCCACACGTATCCGGTGTATCCGGCATACGAGTCCGCAACTTTTTAAATCCGCTCTCCTCCTGGACTTGCGTTTCTTATAACGTGTGTGCAGTTAAACCTACATTGTTAAGCTTCTTTCCATGTCGGACGGTGAAATTGGGCGCCGTAAACGAGCATAATAGTGCTTGGTCAGGTGGGACAATTTTGTCAGTGAAACAGTTACTGAAGAACGTTGGCGATAAAATTTTCTCATGAGCCGAAGGTCGCTTTACAAATTAGCTGACGAAGTGAGAGTGCATTCGTCAGGGTGGACGGACAAATACGATTTGAATACGGATACGTGTGGACGTGATTAAAAAATATCCGGATACGTGTTGACAGGGCCTAAATTTGCAAACATGATTCCCTGTAAAATAGAAGCAGGGCGTTAATCTTTGATTTTGTTTCATAGTGTCCCCAATAGGTTTTTCGGGATGCGGGATTTCCCTTATTTGAAGCTCGGGATGCGGAATTTTAAAGCAAAATCGGCAAGATTCGGGATTGAAAGTATGCGTACGAGTTAGAATGCCCGAAATAACCCTCGGGATTACGGGATTGCACGAATTTTGGGTCGGGATTAGTGGATTGAAGAACCCTATTGGGGACCTTCGTTTCAGGCGTATTTATGTGCCAAGTAGGTTGTACAAATCTGTTTTTATTTTCTCCCATTACTCAGTTCAAATGTTCAGGTACATGCAGTGTATATAAGCGGTATCATTTTCTCGGAATTGAAATAATTATAAGAAATTTTTATCGAATCTTTTTCAACCGTTATGGGTTGGTCATTCTGCTACGAGGATCATGTTCACTTTCATATCTTTATCCGCGGTTCAAAATATGGTTGATTTCATATATTTAAATACATGTCATTTCCACTATGATCGGGTATATTACGAACTCACAATGGCGTGCTCTCCAGTTGGTTTGATTACCTCAGTGGATAGAGCGTTGCGTCTTGTCATCGCAAAAGTCAGGCCCGATTCGTTTCCTGGTAAAGCCTGGATTTTTTAGGGTTTTTTTAACCGCTTAAGGTTGCTGATTCTACTGTGAGGATCATGATCACTTTCATAACATTATTTTTGTTGTTTTTGTTAGGAATTTTGACCCCCGAAATGCAGTGCAGGTAAGAAAACAATTCAGAAATGCAAACTAGTACTTAACAGGGTTGGTCAAAACCGTATAATTAACAATTTATTCCATGAGTGCGCGTTGGATATGAGTTGGCTATAACCATCACATATTCATCAAGCGCGAGTGGAATAATGTTTTATTAAAAACGCCCTCGAAATATCGAGAATTCTTCCCGACTTTATTTGTAAAAACAACCGATTTTCAGCTTGAGGGGAGGGACAGTTTTTTTTCAATATTGTGTTTCTTATTCTTGCAGATTGTTAAGCTTCTCGACAGTCTTGACGCAACTCTGGGATTGAGTAAGTCAAACGCAGATTGTTGATAATAAAGCCAATCTCTAAAAATGCTGCCATGGTTATTTATTTTTTATATTTTTTGTTTATTGGCTTTTGAGAACCTCGCACAGTGAATTTTGGTTTTGGAACGTTCCGGCAAAAGCGAGAAAAAGTAATGCCTCGGAAATTTCGGTTGCTTTTTTTTCTGAAAAATGTGTTCGCTTTGTTTTCTGAAAGATTTCTAACGGAATGAACTGTTCAATCTGAAATATAACCGGAAATTATTGGTTTTTCTATAAATTAATAATAAATAATAAATAACCGCTCCAGGAATACCTTTTCCGGTTGACCCGGGAAATTTTGGCCGCTGAAACTTTCCACTGGATAAACCAGAAAACAAGTGTTCCATTAGCCTCGCACACAGACGTACTTAGGAATTCCTCCCCGACTCCCACGAACGTCTACTAACGGCGGAGTTGGCTGCTCTCTTCAGCGGACGTTTGTGAGCAAAAATGCGTGACGAAGCGCTAAGAACGTCCGCGTGGGAGCGAGACTAGTGTGCCATTTGCATTCTAAGCAGAATTTCGGGTTAAACGGAGAGCGCAAAACGAGACACCGTGAGAGGCTCTGATAGCAGTGGATGTACGACTATAGGGGAGTGGTTGGGGGAGGGGAGGGGGCATTTTTTTATGCGGCTTATTATGGGGAACGTAAGTTTCTGTTTTCTTTCTAAACTTGTCGAAGCCTATATCGCCAGGAAAACTCTCCTACAATTGACATTTTAACCGAGTTGGGCAAATCGCCTTTACTTTCCCCAGGTAATGTTATTGTCAAAGCATGCGAAAAATGCAGCCAAAGAGAAACCACTACAAGAGTAGAATTTGTTACCCTTCTTCTTAAGGAGGTAAGTTTCCTGTGGTCAACATCATGCAAGTACTCTCTTTCAAAAATGTTGCTTTAAACCAGTGCACTATCTTAGAGTGCATTTTATGCCTTCATCCATAATTTCTTAAGATTCTGTCAATTGTTTATTATTTATTTGCAGGGTTTGAATCATTTGCTGGAGTCTCGCACATTCACATTTGTTATGTCAAGTTTAACACAGAATAAAATGACGACTGAGTTTTATGAAGTAAGTACGTAGTACAACTAGATCTGAAAAGAATTTCCTTCTACAACATGGTTAGCCATGGAGGCCTTTAAAGTTTGAAGTTTGTGGATAAAACCGCCGTTGAGATTAAGACAGTAATATTTATGCAAGGAAAAATAGGGTTACCGGTCGTTTCGATACAAGTTTATTCAGTCTAGGTGAAAATAGTTTCACGTCATTGTCCTAAAAGATGAAGAATATTCACTCAAAATGTTTTTTCTTGTTCACGCTTGAAGTGAACGAAATTTTTGTGCAATTTCGCATCTTGAAGTTCGTATCGAAACGACCGGTTTCGAAAAGTAGACGCGTCTTACGTAGACGCCTAGACGCGAACTGTTCCATTTATATACACGAGCATAAGATGCGTCTTAGCGTAATCGTGTCTTTGTTAAAAAAGACAGTCAGTTTCATATGCCATTTAAGGTGGGAACACTCTTGGTGACAAGTCGTAGCAACACGTCGCGGCGACACCTTGATAAACTGCTTTGTACGGACGGGAGAATTTTTGTGCAAATCTTTGTCTCCGCGACATGATTTGTCTTCGCGACAAGTAGCATGGACACATTTAAAATGATCTGATTTTCTGCGACGTCTTGAGGGGACAAATCCTGCCGTGGAGGCAAAGAGTTGCACAAGAATTCTCCCGTACACACGAAGCGATTTGTCGCTCCGACGTGTGGACTTATTACTCGACCTGTACACAGAAAGTGATTTATCGCCGTGACTTGTTGCAGCGACATGTCGCCTAGTGTCCCGACCTTTATTTGGGAGGTTCACGTTTTATTTTTCCCGTATAGATGACACTACTATCTTCTCTTATAGTGATTTTTGAATTGTGTCTTTTTCCTTCTCCCTTTTCTTAGTTTGTACGCGTTATGAAGGAATCCAAGGTGACATTAGATGAGCACCATTACAGACAGTTAATTAAGGTAGGTCATTTTTCATTTTTATTATTATTTTTTGTAGTACTGTACAGGTAGCCTAAGAAAACAGCCGACATTTCGCGACGCCACCAACGGTTTCCCCTCGAGTGACGTCCGAAGAACGAGCGCAGAAATTCTATACTAATAATCTGTCACTACCCTGATCGGGTTAACGCTTCTGATTGGTTGAAAATTTGCTTCAACCAATCAGAGGCACTACCCAGATCTGGGTAGTGACACGTCATTAGTATGGAATTTCTGCGCTCGTTTCTCAGACGTCACTTCGAGAAACCAGTGGTGGTGTCGCCAAATGTCGGCTGTTTTCTTAGGCTAGTTATTTCTTTGTCACCCTGCTGTAGCTGCAAGTATTATTTGAAAATTGTTGAATTTAAGATAAAATTCTCTGATTTTGTTTTTCTTTACTTTGCTGCAGATGATGGCATTTGATGGAAAGGCAGAAGCTGCCCAGTTTTGTTTTGAAAAGGCGGCGGTAAGATGTTAATTGTTATGTACCCTTTCGGCTCCTCTTACTTTTTAATGTTACTAAATATTGCTGGCTTCAGTATTTTTACATGTTTGGGCAACACTGTGTGAACCTTTAATCAGTCTTACTGACTGATGAAATGGATGTATGAAGGCGTTTATTATTCAGTCAATTCCAAGAGTGCCCATCCCCCACCCCCTCCCCCAATTTTTTGTGCATTTGTCCTCTTTTCTTTGGGATAGCCCTCTTCGGGGCGAGGAAATTTGTTCAAAAACCTCCCCGCAGCTAAAAACTGCGATCCAACGGACAAGTAAAAAGTTATTTTTCCTTGCCAGCCTAAAGCTTAAAATCGCAATTAAACGCACTGAATAAATGATGAAGATAGTTTTCTTCGATTTTTCGATGGACCCCGGCGAAGAACGTCGTCACAGTCCAAATTCAACTTCCTGACAGTTTTTTTGTGAGAAGTTCTTGCAAAGATGGACAGGCCCCCATTGCTTTTGTCTCCTCTTTAGATTCCTCTTCTTCTCTAGAATAGTATAGAGTGTTTACAAGCCTGTTTACGCTTTCCGCTAGTCAGTGTTGATAAAAAACGCCTTAATATTTTAATAAAACCTCAATCATCCTTAATCATCCTTTAAGGAGTTTGTGCTTGGGTACTCTTTGTGTGCCATTTTAGATTTCTTTTTGTGCTTACTTGCTTATAACCATTACGCATGATGTCAACGTCCGTGTAAGTCCGACAATTATGCCTGGGATTGTAGAGCCCTGTAGCTGAGGTCTTGAACGCCTGTTAGATCTGTTGTCTCTCTACCGCACAAGCAACCCAACCAACTTCAGATTATATGGTGTTATTCCGATGCGTTTTTGTGCAATATGGCATTCCAAGCTGAATTATTAGGTTCTTATTATCATATCCGCAAATTGCATGCATTAGTATCTTGAAACTGATTTTTGATTTGTTTTGTTGTCTTAGAAATTAGCTGAACCAACAGACCTGATGTACAGTTACTTATTACTGTCATATGCTCACTGCTCAGAAGGGGGAATATATGCTCGTGTACCGAAAGACAGGGTAAATAATGCGCATTATTATTCTTTTCAAATTTTTCTCCCTTTCATTGGCCGAGAGCCCATCACGTGATCTGCAAATAACTGCCTACAAATAATGGTCTGCTGATGCGTAATGTCGGCCAACTTTGTTTGTCTGCAAATAATATTCTGCCCATGCAAAAATGAAACCACGTCTTTCTCCTTCTTGCAATCACTCTTGCGTGAAAATGGCAGATCTTCGCTTCCCGAAGATATTCCTTTGAAAAACAAACTCGATGAACGAATGATAAAACAATTGTTGAACTCGGTCATTGCAAAATATCGTGTTTTTTCAGTGTCTTGCAGATCAATTAATTACCTCCGCCTTCGGCTTCGGCAAATAATTGATCTACTCGCCACTGACAAATCACGATATTTTGCTCAGCTTCGTCTAATAATTGTTAACTGACTGTCACCTGTTGATTACATCTCTTAGACGACGTTTACACCGCACGAATTGTCGAAACTCGTGCGTTTACACGGGACCACGCTAAGCGGTGGAAAGTTTGGTTGCCCAGCCGTTCAAAATTTTGACCGCTAAAATAGAGGTCAATTTTTTTAGCCGAAACGGTCAAAAATTTGACTGGCGTGGGGTGAGCACCATGACCGTCTAAATGTTTATACGGGAATTCGTCTGGTATCGTTTGAATTTAGCCTTAGTTAGTTCAAGATTCTTCTAATTATTGTGTGTTTTTGCACTCAAGTTCCTGTGTTGAGGGTAATATGGCAAAGAAGGCAGTGTGGCCGAGCGGTTTGAGCGCTGGACTTGTAATCCGGAGGCCTTGAGTTCAAGTCCTGCTCTGACCGCTGTTCACTGTAGTCCCGAGTTCAGATCCTCGGCCACACTTTTAAATAGCTATCTTGTTTGCCTCTGGCCAGTTGGGTTTCTTAACCTTCTTATGTTCATTAAATTATATGATTCTGTTCTTACCTGTGGGCCACAATCACAACGATTGAGTTGTTAGTAGTTGTGTTACCCTATAAAGTCGATGTTTTAGTCAGTCAGTCAATATAAAGCAAGTCAAGGAATCGGTTTGGGTCCAGTCCATAGGTTTAGTCTAGTTGTGCGTCTGGTTTGGTGTAAGTCTTGTTCTATCTAGTTTAGGTTAAAGCATAGGTTAAGTTTAAATTATCTACTCGAGTTAATGTAGTTCTACGTATAGTTCTGACAAACCAGTGAAGTAGTAAAATGCAAAGTGTTTATATTGACAGAGAGATCGTATACTTCTCGACGTCTTCTATATGAGGATAAATTTATAATAGTTTATATAAATAATTGCAACTTTCTTTTTCTTTATACACAGAACATGAAAAGAATTTGTCAATTGTACAATGAGATGTGGTCAAGAGGTCTGAGGTAAATTCCAGGTTTTTAGTTTGTTAGATAAATTTCGTTTTCTTTGGTGTAAGTCTCATTATTATACATTATCATACCCCAAAGCAAAAAAAAAAAATAGAATAAAATTTATACCAAGAATGAAATTGAACCACAACGTATGTGCTGTAGGTAAAATCCTTTTTCAGCGTAAACCAGAGTTTCCTTTATCTCGCACATGTATGAACAATTAGGTTTGGGCGGAAAGAAAGAAAATTCTGAATCAACCTGAAGGGATGAAGAGTGGTTTAACCTGAGAGTGCATTTTACCAGCGACGTAAACACTCCCCAAATAAGCAGATTTGATGAGTTGACGTCCCTTAAAAGTACAGTGCGAACTTAGGCCTGGTTCAAACGTCGAACTTTTCATGAGGTGAACCAAACTGAGTGAGTTTAGTTCATGAAAAGTTCGACGTCTGGCTCAGTTAAGTTCGTCTGAATGAGTTTGGATCGTCCAACACGTTCTATCTGTCTGTTTCAGACGGATAGAACGTCTGAAGATCGTCTCCAAGAAAAAAGCTGATGCATGCCACGAACTAAACTAATAAATTAATAATTTGTATGACAATGTATATTTAGCCTCGTTCGGGATAAAAGTTGTTGAAATTGCTTTTTGGTCGGATTCAGTCAAATGGTTCGACTCGTCCAAAGTTCGACTTCTGACCCAACAAACGATGTTAACTTCATTTAGGTCCACCCAAATGGAAAGTTCTCATGAAAGGTTCGACGTTTGCCCTAGGCCTTAGAGTTAGGATTGAAGTAACCTTGTTTCTGTCGTTGTTTTATGTGAATTAGACTAACAGCGCGGGCCAAAGGTGCAGCATGTATAGCTCATCTGATGATGGGAGATCTTGAAAAAGCGGAGGAAATAAGGAGGTGAGGAGGACCGTAGGACACTCATCTTAAAAATATTATTGTTAGGTATCAAGTATATCATTATTATGTTATGTTATTTTTTTTTAAGTTAGTGTTTTTTTAAGGTTGAGTTTAAACATCAGTAGCTGTTTCAGTGCGTGGAGCTGCAAATAATTTTTCTCTTTAGAAAAGAACGTCTATCCGACCAGCAGGTCATAAGCGTTTTAGACGGACAAACCAGAAATGTTCGCGAACAGCTTTATGATGAGTTTCAATTGCTTCAATCACCGTGCAAGTCCGGCTGTTATCTTATATCCTGCCGCAAGTAAGATATCGTCGTGGGACATGGTCAAAGTTTTAGTCGGACATTATCCAATGACCGACCCTTATTTGCAGCTCTGGACTATGATTGTACAAAAAGTAATCTTAGATTATAGTGCGTTCGCTGTTAGAGTATCCTTTGATCGAACGTGCATGGAAATCGGAAATATCTCTTAGAGGATAATTTATTTTCGAAGACGTCTCAAATTTCAAGCGAACGAAAAAGTGCTCCCTGGCCAAAGGGGTTTCCGTGTTGAGTTATCAATAGTTAAATATTGAGAATCAAGAGATCATATATCTTGTTGAGAATTAAATGCAAAGTTGCATAAATTACACCGATAATGCTAAGTGTGTTACGCAAACATCGGAAAACTAGCGGCACCATACTTGCATGAAATTCATTGTTTGCAAAGGCGGGGTTAGTTGTAAAGCATCACTAAACAGTCCAGAACACCGTTTTTATTTGTTAGCCACAACGATTTGATTATCCATTTGTGTGAATATCTTAGGTGTCATGATAAACGCCTCTTAAGTTATAAGTTTTACTGGTTCCTTAACTGTCTTTTTTGTTATTTTTTTTCTCTGTACAGTACACATGGTATAGGTGTCCCTCGATACAGAGTGTTATCAGAGTTCCTTAAAAGTTACTCTAAACGTGGTGATGTAGCAAGTAAGTCTTTAAAGTTTGGGCTGAAACTAAGGTGGCCACACCCTGGCAACTCTTCCAACATGTTGAATCTGATGGGTGATCTCTGGTTAAAAGCGTACAAGTATAACATTGTTTTGCGTTAATTCCTACTTTTTCATGCATCGTTCTCTCTAAAGGTGGATTTCTATTCTCGTAATTTTTACTTACGTAAATGAAATAAAAAATATGTAAAGGGTAGCACGAAAACGTAAAAGTTGAGCGAGGTTCAACTTTTACTTTCACGCGCGACCTTTCATATTGCCTCTATTTTATTTACGCACGTAAATTGTACTCGCGTAAAAATTACGCGACAGACAAAATGTACCCAAAGGAAGTTCCATAATAGCAATTTTTCTTTTATGATTTCACCTAAAGCTTGTGTGTATTAAATTGTCAGTAAATGCACAAGCGCATACACACACCTCTTTCCTCAGAACATCGAAACATGAATTTTAAAACACGTGGTCTTGTAGTGGGCGGAATAAATACAGTAGCATGCATGGTTGCCAGCCTATCCCGCGGTAAAATGGATTTCTTTTGCTTTATTCGTTTTCACCCCGAAGAACGTGAACTTCACAATGTATAACACAGAACTACGCAGAAGACATTCACGATTAAATGTTTAAAATTCCGAGATCGTATTACGCCACTATCCTCTCCCATCGGTTAACATAATTAATGTTTATGGTCCCATCATTAACAGCAACTTGAGCCTCTCAGTTATGGGCCCCTTATTTCTTAAATTGACCTCTCTTCTTTATTTACTCTAAAGAGTCGCAGGAATTATATGAGGAACTTAAAGAAGAAATGAAGAATCTTACCATGCCAACCTTTGTCTACAACAGTCTCCTACATGTCTATGGATTCCATGGTAAAATGAACATTTTTACAGTGATAACTATTAACTATAATAGTGATGGTAAACTAAGTATCGTAATATGATAACAACCAATGCTAGTATATTGTTTTGGCCAACCACAGGAGCCGTTATTAATGTAATAATGATCCAATTAAAACTCGGCTCAATTCCATCTTGCCGGGCCAAGCGATAAACATTTTTGCTTGTAGGTTACCTTCGGTTTTGTTTCTGTTTCTGATTGAAAAGCGGAACCAAAGGATTGTGAAGTTTCGCTGGAATTGTGCATGAAACATCCGGCATGATCCCATTTGTTCCGTTGACTGTCGGTTTGTCTATCATTGTCTCTCTGTTCATTTTGTTGGTGGATGGCTAATTCCTAAGGCCAATGAATAAAAGCAAGTGGAAACCCTTGCAGCCTTTCCTTTTAAACCTGCAACAATACGTATCTAAAATTTTAAATAATATTTATAAGGATATGTATGGCGTATCTCATCAAGGTTTGCCAGAACCTGGCTATTGAAAATGTGCAGCCGTTTGATCAGAAGAAGGCCCAAACAACTTTTAATAAGTGCTTAAACTGTTGAATTTTTCAGGTGACATTGACTCGCAGTGGAAGATTTTCGAGGAGATGAAGAAAAACAACGTGGAACCCAATCAGTTTTCATACTCGAATATCATCAGAACATATTTACACAAGTAAGTAAAAAATGAACGACGTCAAACGAAAGTTGTAGTTCACATTGTCTTGAAAGTAATCAGAATGGTCTCAGAATACTTGTATGGGTCACACTCGCCCTGGGACCACCAATTTCCGAGGTGCATCTTTGTATACTGCGTTCGTTTCATAGGGGTGTAGAAGCGGTTAAGCTAGGTTTGTGTCCGAGGAATGCACCGCCTGCTACTCTCTCAACTTAGAACCCCGTGTCAACATCCCATCAGCTGTAATGATCCCTTCTGTATCTTTTTGGCATTCTTCCCGCAGTAATTCCACGTAGGGAGATAGCGGCCACACGAGCAACTTTATCTTATTTTCCCGATGGCGGGTGTATGACCTTACCCCACGGGTAAAAGCTTAATGTAACCGCAATCGACTGTTACTTCAGTGGACGTTCTCGTAAGCGGACGAGCTTGGGACGCGAAAAGGGCGTCCGTTTTTTAATGCTGTTGCTGGTCGCTTATGGGTTTGGTTCTTTTTTTCGGTCACTAGAGGTGAAGGGGTAAAATGGCCGCTTGCAGGAGCTTACCCAGCTACAAATAAACATTGAAAAGTAAAAAACTGTTTGTTAGTATAATTGCTATACTGTGGATCTGACAACGTTGTAACCGAGTCACAGGCATAAAATCCTATTGGTCTGTTGAAGTGTAACTGACCTGAAAGTGTCCGCGACCGCTTACGGGATTGTAAAAATACAGAGTTTGTATGGGAATTGAAAAGTAGAGCTGTCCACTTACGAGAGTAGGGAGCTTAAGCAACTACTACTACGACGACGACGCAACTTCAAAAAACAATAGGTTTAATGATCAAAACAACAGCTCTGTACGTGCATCACGCTTTTTAGTACATTCCTTTGACGTCCACTGCACGACTACGACGTGAAACCTCCTAATTTGACGTTTTATTGAGCACGTGGACATACGACGACGAATTTCCATTCCTCTTTTTGAACTTGAATAAAATCCTTAAGAATTCAACTCCAGGAAAAGTCTCCTGCATTTAACATATTGAGCGGGTCCAAATAGACGCGATTAAGTTTGAAAGAACGTAAATTCATTTTTTTAGAGACGTTTTCACTGCCATCTTCGTCGTCGTTGCCTAAGGTCCCTAGCTAGTGTCCGTTGGAAGAACTTCCACTGTACTACTTGGCAAATCTAAACATGGTGGACTAAACAGTCAGGGCTGTCACTGATGGACGGGGACCGGGGAATTCCTCTGGCAACTATGAGCACGACTCCCGGCTACTTAAGAAGGAATAAAAGCTTCTTCCTAATTTCTCGCTTACTCTCGCTAATTACATATATCCGATTTCAATACTTGAAATCATAGTTACAGCCATGTAAACTGTTGTGAACCAAAGCTTTTAGATTCGAGTACTGCTACTCGTTAAGTTTATTTTTAAGCACGAAAGACTTGTCGGTGGGATAATCATACTTTCCTCCTTCGCAGGGATGACATTGATACGGCATTGAAAATCTTTCAAGATGCGAAGGAACAAGGGAAGTTCATATCAGATGCGACATGTCTCCTTTTACTTAACTCTATGGCAAGAACAGGCCAGTTGGAACACTTCGAGAGTGGTAAGCTACATATGGGTGCTTTTCGTTTGTGTGGAAAAACTGGTGGTCATATATAGTGACTGACATCATCGCGCAAAATGAGTGGTCATCGTCGGTCATTCACAGGGCAGATGCCCTGGTTATTCATGACCGCCGAAGCGGCAAATGAAAATGCACGAGCGCTTTGATTAAGCTCCGAATAAGAGAAGAAAGGACCACAGTTTGTCCACCAGCGTTAATAAAACTCATTTTCGTTACTTTCTCAGCTCCAAATGGATGGAACTTTGAAAACGAATGATGTGTCTACGATTTAAGCGAGGGACAAAAGACAAGCGTCTACTTGATTAAAGGACATGGCTCTTCACTTGAAAGTTGATCAAAAAGAAAATGCTTATTTCTTGTATGGAAGCTAAATTTTGTTCTGCATGTGTGTAAAATGTAAAAATACTTGAGCCTTTGGCATCTGCTGTGTTTTTTAGCTTTGGAAGACATCATGACGAACAGAGTAGCATCTGCCTACAGCATGAAATGGGGTGGATTATTGCGTGGTATAGTGTTCTGTTGCCTTCATGCTGGAAAGAAAGATCTTGCCCTGAAAATCCAGTTGGTAAGCTCTCCTGTCTTATTTTAGACAACCCCACGGAAAAATGCTGTCCGGTAAATTTCGTCTGAATGAAGCAAATAGAATAGCAAATCCTGTGTTATGATGGGCTACCCGAACGGCCAAGAGAGGCCCATGTTGGCCGCTCGGGATTTCCCGCGTTGGTCCCGCAAGTGAAAGTTCTGTCTTTGGCCATAAAATAAATACTTTCTTGACCAAGCTTGTTTGGTCAAGAGGGCTGAATATTGGCCTTTTGCGTGTTCATTACCCTGGGCTTCGTCTCGGTTCATAGAAACCCGAAATGAACTTGGCCAGTATCGAGCCATCTTGACCGAAAAATCTCGGTCAATAACGGACAGATTCATAAATGAAGGTAACTTTGTACAGCCTAATATAGAGTGACCACTGGAAAACTAGTACTCCTAGTAGTTGTCAATTCAACGGTCACTCTGTAGGATTTCATGTACATATATAGGCTCAAAAGATAGAAACACCTTAAACAGTACATGTATTTCAGTCGTTTTTATGATGACACTTCAAAGATTTAGACAAGTCGCCCTTGCAAACTTTTAACCGGCTTTCCCATTTTTGCCAGGGGAGCTGTGAAATGATTCATTGAAGAAGAAACATGCAAGTCCAAGTTAAAAATTTCAGTACTTCTTCAAAATTCCTTTCATGTATACCTATTGGCTGTGTACCAGCACGAGAGATCTCTTTTCTAGAGTAATGGAATATTTAGAAGTCGTTTCCTTTTTGTTGTACGTAGGAACATGAAGTGCGTTTGGAAATTCCTGCATTTGTTGCGTATGCAGAAAACTCTGCGAAACGAGGAGAGGTATGCTAGTATTTAGTTAAATCGGACATTACACGTTCTATGCAACGTGCCATGAATTTCCCTCGTTTGTATGCAACTATACTTTATCATGATTATTAATTATGGTAAATTTATACCCCATTTGTCTGTGTGTGACGCAGAGGCCATAGTAATGTTATAGGTTCGAATCCTGTCCGAAATTCTTTCAGATTTTTTATTCTTTGAAAAATTTGGTTTTGTCACGTTAATGTTTGTGTATTGATTTTTTTCGTTTGGCCTGGCTGGCGAATCTTCCATAGATAATCTTCATGCACTCGTTCTAACTTGTCTTGGCAAACAATTTTATGTGGTAAATAGATTCTTTAAACTGTATAAACTGTCCAGCGACATTACTTGTATTGTTGTCTTGTTTTCCTCTGTAAGGAATACTAGTCTATTCGAAGGTAGCGGGTATTATAGAGAGTCAAGCTTCTTCTATAACTTCTTCTCAATTTCCTTTTTTTAATTGTCCCTAGGTTGACGCTGTATTGAACGCAATAGAATTCTTTAAAGAAAATGGTATTAACCCTGCAGCATTGTATCTACCCCTTATCAAGGCGTACGGTAAGTCATATTAGGCATCTGTACCACAACGATGCATGAGACCCTCTCTCTTTTGCTTTATTAAGAGGGTGATATATATGTTGTGATTCAATTTTTTCATTGGTTTAAATTTTCTTTTCTTTTGTTTTAGGGTATGGTAATGTATGATAATGAGTTTGAAACAAAAGAAAAGAAAATTTAAACCAAGGATAAAATTGAACCACAACGTATACGGCAAAAACCGATTACTTGACCCTGCCTGTAGATGGGACTCCGCAAATGGATGAAGCCATCAATTATATAAATAACGCTACAAAGGCTAGCGCGGTAAAGAAGTTAAGTGTCGCGCTCAACGGAGCTCGTCCTTTCGAAAACAGAGGATGTGCCGGGAACGAAAGTGTCGCTTATTTTGTATGTGGATGTTTTCTCCGGTAATTTTGAACTTCCGTAAAGTGAGAGCTTCCTCTTTTATTTGATCGCCTGAACATGTTCAACGGAAAAGCCCCTTGTGTATTGTCATGCCTCCCATACACGTACTAAGTAGCCTCTCTTTGTCTTCGCGACTTTACTTCTTTGGGAATAAATGTTTGGTAGACGTAGGAGGCGCGCCATTAAAGGTGTCTACCTAAGGCACATTTGGTGCAAAGTTTGCTTCCCAAGATCGAAATGCCCCTTAAGATAGTTGTTTATGTTACATGATACCACTTTAGCTCGTGTTTGCAATTTTCCGAGTGCGATTTAAGCATTGAGCGTTTATGCAGGTATGTAAAAGTACTTTTAACTTGTCAAAACTAGGAGGATTCTTGCTCCTTTTTGTTTTAACAAGAAGGCTCTTAGTGATCTTTATATTCGAGGTCGAGGTTTGACCAATTGTTTTTTTCGCGTATTCTCCAAAAAAATAGACACCCTGAAAAGCTACATTTTTTTACCAGAAAAGTTAAGACGGTAATATTTTATTGAAGGAGGTTAAGCCCTCGCCCGATCGCGAAAATGATAAAACTGTTAACATTTGATAACTTGTTTCGGTCACAACAACCTTCTCGCTAAAACCCGTAGTAAAAAGACTGCAACTGCCATTTTTTCCCCGCCCGAATAGAGAGTTTTAGATCCGAGTTTACTGCAAACCTCTAACCGCTGGAGGTCACGTGACAAGTCTTTCGCGTCATGTTAGAGGTTTACGACGTGCGTTTTCAACGTGGGGAGGTAAGTTTTCACGTAGGTCATTTACCTGAAAGCTTTTAGCGTATAATTCTTGTTTTATCTCACGTGATGATACAAAAATCTTGTGGAGCAAGTCTTTATCCATTAACAGAGGCACAAATTCGGGCGAAAAGCTAAATTTGATCAATCCTATTGGATCTTGAAAACAAGTGCCATTCATGGCTGCTGATTCAAAATGGCGGCCGTAAATTCAGTGCAAGAAGAACTAATGTAAGAATTTACAGCTCTTTGCTGCTAGATAACCCAGTGTTACCGTAAATTTCTTTTATTTTCACTGATTGATATTTCTTCTATTTCTAAATGGAAAAATAAACCAGAATCCAATTTTTTAATCCACCGCCAATCTAAATCGAATTATGTTTGAACGTCGAACCGCAAACGGGTAACCGCAAACCGCGGTTAGAGGTTCGCGGTAGACTCCGATCTAAACCTCTCTAATGACGCTGACTGACGTGCTTGAACTACTTGTTATTGATAAAATCTCGTTCTCGTAACGACCAAGACAATTGACCAAGTTAGAAATCCTGCACTGACTGAATAGTGTCGCATTCTTCATGTTAGATGCGCGAAAAGACCCTGCATCTGCTAAGGCCTTGTATGATAAGTTGGTTGCCGAGGGGGTGGAACTTGACGAATCATTTCTGCAGAATCTTAATCACATCCTGCTGAAGTATTCAGAAACAGTGCCATTTGAGGTACCTACACAGACAAGCTCGCCGTCAGAGGTACGTATTTGTCATCCTTGATCTAGGTCCCGTCATAAATGTTCTTTGTACTTAAAGCGACACAGTCAGCTTTGAGACCGTGCTGACTTCGACACTATTTTTGCCACTTTGAAAAGAGTTAACCTTAACCCGATATCAAAGGTACGCGTGGGATACATCTAGAAATCCGCTTTAATCTTGCCTAGCGTTTCATTCGAACAATTGAACAACTTAACATTTAAAACTGACTCTTGCCTCGTTTGCTTTAGAGGCTCGCAGAGTAGTTTTTCTCTAGTTGAATTTTGTAGGAGAAACAAAAACCCACCAGAAATATTAGTACGGCTTGAGTAGTAATTTGACATTGCAAAGAGACGTAGTGCTGAATGCACTCTCCACCCACCAATGCTGCCCAGGTTCCTTGAATCCCAGAGGTTATGACATAATGTGGCTTGAGTTTACTGTTGGCCTTTTTCCTTGCTCCGAGAGTGTTTTCAGAGGTGCTGTACAGCCCTGTACATTACTGTTTCTTCCTTTCTTCAAAAACAACATTTCTGAATTCCAATTCTGCTATTTATTCTTGTTTTGAATTCTCAATTGTTTTGCTTTTTCAGACACAAACTCTTGACAGTGACTCCGAAAACTTAAACGAAGACGAAGAAAGTAATGTGCTGGAAGACATCAATAAAGACATCCAAAAGGTAATCAAACTCCCTAGGGCTGCGAAAAATTTTCTAGCTTTATATCAACAGAAATAACAAATTTTTGCTTTTCCGAAAAAGTGAAAAATGCTTCGTCCTTTTTGGTGGACGCGCTGATTTCGGATTATCAGCTTACGGCATAGCGATATTGCTGAAGTTTAACTGTGGAACTGAATCGTTTCACTCTCGTGTCGTCGATGCGACTACTAGCAGTTCAGGCGTTCAGATATTGGGGCGGCTCAGAGAGAAGTGAACAGCCGCGCCAATCTCCACTATCTGAACGCCTTAAAACAGGCTAGAACCTAGGTCGTTGTATATCTCTAGAAGTTAATAGGATCAAATGCGCGAAACAACTGTTGCATTAAATGTAAGCTAAAATGGAATAGTAATTAAAGCTAAAAAGTAAACAACGCTCAAAATTTAATTATAAACACTAAATATATTACATAGTAGGTTAAAAACATTACACATCTAAAGCTAGTCTAAAAAGATGCGTTTTAAGGAAAGATTTAAAATTTAAAAAAGCATTTTAAGGTGTTCCGAATTTCCTCCTTATGAAGATAGATCTTTATAGATTAGTCTGTCTGAAATGACAAAATCAACAACGCTAGCGTCATTTCAGACTGGTTATACTAGAACTTCTATTCTCATTTAAATATAACTCACTTTGTCCTGAAGGGTTTTGTACCTTCCCTTATTTGACAATGACAAATAGTCCAGAATCGGGTAAATTCCATGGGATTGTTTTTGTCGGCCTGCTGTTGTAAATTTGTAATTCTTATTTTCAGGAAGATGACTTGAAGTGATTTTCAAACTCAAATGACCAGAATGAGAACATCATCTGATCTGTATAATGGTCATTTAACATGTGTTCAACAAGCCACCTTCAGAACGACGCTTCCTTCGACACGGTTTTGCTTGGATGGAATCTCCCTTACGCCATAGACTACTGCTTCTTTACGGACGCACAAGTGGTTTAGTTTTTACAATGAAGTGCTCCACATTGAACATTAAAAGCGTACAATTTATTCCGCAAGAAAAGAGCTTAAAACTAATTTTTGTTCTCCTGGAAAATTCGGGGTTTTAAATCTGTTGGCCCAGCTACCGTGGAACCTCGATTTAAAGAATCGCTATATAACGAACTCCTCGATATAACGAACGATTTTCTTTACCCCAATAATAGTCACAAATATGAAAAAGAACTTCGATGTAACGAAACCTCGTTATAGCGAACTAAGTTTGGCCCTTCGTTATATCGAGGTTCCATTGTACTAAGATAGGTTTTTCAAAACGTTGATGACCAGTTAGGTTTCAATCATCAAATCTAGGGAAAACATTAGCTCAGAATTGATGTTTGTTTCGAGGTAAACTGTTCTCAGAGGTTTGACATATTTATTGGATAAGTTTGTTTCGGATTCTGAGGACTGAAGTTAGAGTAAAGCACAAAGTAGAACGCATCGCGTGCAGCTCTCGAGTGCGCCTTTCACGCATCCTCGTTCTTTGTATTTTACGTTAGGGACCTTACGATCTGATAACAGTGACGCCATTGAAAACGTCTGAAAAACTGACTTACCGTCCTTTCAAACTTTTTCGCGATTATTCAAACTCGATCAGTCTTCTAAAAGTTGGCAAATTAAGCTTTGAGCTGAAGAGAAAAGACCGCTTTCAAACTCAGAAAGATACAGTGAGATCTATCCCTTTCACGTTCGAAAGAGAGCTTAAAATTTGGTCATTTGTGGTCGTGGTTGTGCAGGGACGGCAACAAAATTGACAGAAAAGCGTGATGCGTGATGCATATACAGAGTTGTTGTTGTTGTTCGTCTGTTTTTATTTTTGACGTTCTCGTTGCCGTCGCCGTCGTAGTTTCGTAAGGTCCCTAACAAATAAAATAATTAGCTGAGAACGCGTTTGCTATCAATTTTGTGTTCATGAATTAAAGAGATCGTTTAGAGAAAACAAAAAATGCTTAAATTGTAGTTTATTGGCCAGCTTTATCCAAAGGATTCAAAGCAATTCAAATTTCGATTTCCACATTTCTCACGGCGCGGGGTGTCACCCACACATCCTTAAGAAGATTCTATTAATAAAATACTTTCCATAGTCGTTGAACCTTCTTTAGTACACAGGACAAAACTGTTCTGGATTGACGTTTTATTATACAGAAATAAAGCAAGCCAAGTAACCTCAATTATTTATGTTTTTTACTTTTGAACTTTATTAAATCTCACCATGGAAAAATATTCTCTTGTTGATCACGGAAGGAGGGCTTGCGTTACGGCGAAATCACAAAAGTTTGCAAAATCAACGTGATTTCTCAGAAAAAAGAATCACAACACGAAGTGTTGTTATGTTAAGAATATCGTGACGTGTTTGTGAATGTTTTGAAAAGAATTCGACTGGAAACGGAGGAAAAACTTAAGGACAGTCTACAACTTATTTGACCACTGAAATACGGCACTTTTTTTCAGACTTCTGTCGTCTTAAAACTCTTCTGGCCACTAGATCGATCGACCTAATTGTAGAGCGGTCTTCCATTTGTTTTGCAGATGGCGGCCTGTTGCTCGAGCTTCGTACCAGCCACGAAATGCAGCTGTGTTAAAGCGCAAAGCGCAGTCGGCCAAGAACTTCAGACACTGATATTTCGGCCTCTCGAATAGTTGCTGGACCTTATTTGTCCGTTCTTCTCCTAGGAGCTTGCCATTTCCTCACGTTCTGTTGCACAACAGCTTGAAACAACTTTGTTGGATTTGCCTCGTGGCCCTTCGGTGGAAGCATTACAACTTGAATATTTGACGCCTGATGTATCAAAGGATCGTAGTGCTGCATGTCAGTAACTCGCTTCAAGTTGTCTTTGCTGCAAAATTAATATTTGGAGACGACAATCTAGCACGACAACACTTCGTTCTTAGAAATCACGTGATTTTGCATACCTTTGTGATTTCGTTACTAAGTTTGGAAATGTTTCTCCATGTGTGGAATTTAATAACGTTTAAAGGACAAAAATGTCATTAAGGTTCCTTGGCTTATTTTATTTTTGTATAGTAAATCGTTAATCCAGAACGGTTTTGTCCAGTGTACTGCTTGGTCATTGAACTGGTCTTGTTTTTGCGTACAAAGATTTGAGAATGTTTTCTTTGTAAAGACTTGTTGTATGATCGCCTTCTAGTGAAGGAATAACTAAGACTTCGTCTGTGTCAACCTCGTTTCCTAGCATCTTCCAAATTTGGTCAACGCCGTTTGGTTATGAAGAATTACCCGGGGAGCTTTGAACCAATCAGAAACGACGAGTATTTTGAATGAATAATTGGTAGCGGAGGGTTCAAAAGTCTTCAGCGATTCTGGCCTTACTTGATGGCTTTGAGGAGCTGCATCTCGATTCAGTAAGCTTGAGTAATTATATTGCATTTGATATTTGTTTGTTTTTTTCTTGTTTAATAAATTCGAGCGTTGTTTATGCCGTTTTACGCACGTTGGTTAAGATTTGAGACAATGATCTAGCCTAGTACAAAACTTAAAAAAGTCTTTAGACATTTTCTGACCGCGACTAGAAAGAAAACGTGTTAAAGTATATTTAGTCATTGGTTGTAAAAAGAAAGCTTTGAGCGATATTCTTGCCTCGAGTTCATATTGAAAAAGAGCAAACACGGCGAAGCCGGCTTAAAACTTTAGCTAAAATCTGCAAGGTTTTATTCATGACTCAGGATTTTCAGGGACACGTCACTCTCAATACATGTCTTCGTGAATAGAAATTTCTGTCCATTTAAATGTTTCATTGAATTATATTTCTTGTCTTCGTTGTTTGTCAAGGTCTCTTTCTTATCGCTTTGCCGGTTGTTTTCAGTCGTGCATGAACATAGCATGCAGTACTCAAAAATGCCGCGTGTATCATGTGGTGCTAAAGATTATGGTGTTTTAGAAGTAAAATGCAAACGAGAATGATTCCAAAATCTCTTCCTACTAGGAGAAATAAATACTTCTTTTATTTTGAAGCATAACTCTATTACCGCGTACTATTCATTCAAACACCTGACAGCTCGCATTGCAAGTTCGGCGCTCTGCAAAATTCAGAAGTGGCTGTCCGGACGGGTGATTTTGGAAATTGGAGAAAATATGATTTTTCGAAAGTTTTTGCTTAAAGCCCATTATTACCCTGCTTACTACATAATGGCAGATTGACTTGACTGAACAGTCCCGCCTAAAAGTGAATTCTCTATATGAAAATGTTTTACGTTGTTGTCATTTTATAATTTGTTGAGCAAGGGAAGCGCGGGCCTTGATCGTCCTGAATATTGAATTAGTGTGATTTGTCTTGTAAGATTATTCTGTGAAAAACTGCAAAATTATAAGTAAAATAGGGCAAAAAATGACAGTATCTCCGTCCGAGGTCTGAACGAAAAACAACTGACAACGCCTGATAGTTCTGTTTACATCATCCGTCCTGATTTTCGTTTTAGCCTTTCCTTTTAAGACAGAGAAATATACCCGGTAAGGCCCCCGGTAAGAAATAACGTGTAAATTGGCTGACACCGAGGACTATCGTGTCTTAACGGCCTTTATAGCATAAAACTATATTTCGTGATTGTCCTATTACCGTTATAAACTATAGGAGGTGTAGGTGGGCCAATAGGTTATTTTGCTTGGGAGGAATTAATTTTCTACGCCTAATCTAATCCTTGCCGACTGTTTGCTTAATTATGTTTTCCCTATAATCACCAAGCCCCACCCTTTAAAGTCATATGGATCTCTCCAGTTAATTGATTTGTGGATAATTAACAAGTTTTATTGTTTGATTTAATATTTAATTTTATTAAACTGGAGCTAAGCTTTTTAAGCCCTGGCTAAATCTATATGCAATCCAGAGGAATTACTTTAATAAATGGTCCATATGAGTCTGGGACGCCTGTAATATAAATGGCCCCATTATGAAACATTTCCATACTCACAAACAATGAAAAATTAAATTTAAACCAACGTTCCAATTCCAACAGACTACTTTGCGAGAATAATAATCTTTAAAAGTTTTGTTTACTTCTGTCCAAAGACAGGCAAATATATCACTTTCTCCTTTCGTTTGGCCATACGCGTCCTGTTGTAATTAATTCTATTTTAACTAATAATTGAAATTTTTATTAGAAGTACGTTTTGCACTGATTACTGTTGATTTCAATGAAGTAAAATAAGTAATGGTAATCCAGCTATTGATCCAAAATAATAAAGTCGGCCCTATTATATCGCTCTGGTATCGTTCTATACTCACTATTTTTTTTCGCACACGCATTCACTTGGACCTTCAGTATTAACGACCGGTCAAAAATGCAATGTTTGTGTAGTCGCCTTTGGAAAATAGTTGCTTACTCGAGGGCTTTATATTCTTCTGACTGGACATAAATTTTTTTCATTATTTGTCACACGTTACGTTTCGACAGAGTTTATTAAAATAATACTTTCAAGTACAATTTGCCGCCTATCAAGTCAGATTACATCTTAATTCTTTTTTAAGTATGGATGTATAATGCCCATCTGTCTTAAATTTGAAGTTCTCACCATAATTATATATAAAGTCCTTACTGTAGGAAACGTTTTTCTCATATCAGCATTTTCATCCCGTCAGACATCAGTGCTATTTACGAGGGGAAACTATTAATCCCATTCTCCAGTTTTACGATTGAACGTCGCAGGAGGTAAGTTTGTACACATACAAAAAATATAATGTATTTACAGATTCTATTTTATAACACGGAAATTAGTTTCAAAATTTTATCTCTAAATTGATTGTTTTTGGCCTTGTTTTGTTTTTGAATTTTCGTTTTTTCGAAGCATATAAACAAACCGATACCCTCAGTTATTGCTCTGACTGATTTTGTCGTAAATTATCTCTGAAAAGTCGCGAGGGGACCAAAAAGAAATATTAATATTATTTTTATGATTTTATATGTCAATTCGATCGATCATGTTCAAAACTCGTGATCCCGCGAAAGCAAACATAAAAAATAAATAGAGTCAGATATATAACCGTTACGGCTCTTACTTCGGTCGAAATAATTCTCTGTTAATATTTGTTTTTTTTTTTCGGTTATTTTTTGACCAGAAATGCTTGAACGGAGCTGAGGGGATCGATCCGGTGTCTGTAACCAGCTCATTTTGTAATTTCGGAAATAACATGCAAGCAGGACTTTGCACACTACTTCCATAAACCCAAAAGGAATCAGCTACACCTCAATTCATTGTTCAGGTAGAGCAAAGAGAAAAAAGTCCATCGAGTTTTATACATTTTAAAGCCTTCATTTCAGGTGCTTGAGAGAAGAAAATCATTTCCAAAGCAAATCGACTAGACAAAGTATTTTAATCACCGCGCTATCTTTAAAACCTTACACACAAGACCACGCGATGACTTCTGACAAAATATTCACAGACTTTAAGGTCTTATCTAAATCATAGTTAATTGAGTGGAATGGTTATGAAACCCGTCAGACTCCTTTGTTATATGTTTTTGTGGACCTGAAAGTGCACAACGTTCAAAAGTATCATTTGATTGTATTGACCAATAAAAACGTTGCATTAATTTATTCCGTAACAATTTGCCAACAGAAAACAGAGGATTGTGCACTTTCACGGTACTTCCAACATAAACTGCAGCACTGTTGTTTTTATTATTGATGTTTGCCGCTTGTCATAACCAGTCTCCTCTAATAACTATGTCTAAATATAGAACTTATCTGTATCTCTCTATTTCTGCCTTCTACGTGCGTCATTTTTGCTAAAATTGAAAATTAAATCGACGGTTAAGCTGGGTGATGCATGATAACAGTGTCCAGTATTTATTTACTAAAAATACCGGTAGATTCGCTATGATACATACGCTATGTATATTCCTGTAAACTTTGCTTTTAATCTACCACATTATGTTACTAGCTATATGCACCCCACAGGTAAAAAAGAGAGTAAAAATGAGATTTTAACTGAAAAAGAAAAAATAATAAGGTTACAAGAAATTTGCTTCAAGGGGATTCGGATTCTCAGAATCAGTAATAACTAAAAGTTAACGCCTCTCTACACTGGACCACGTTTGTAAACGCTGATATTTCGAGTTTAAAAGAGGTACATATTCCTTCTCTATGGTTATTGACAGTTTTCAAGGATGACTTCTTCGTTTTTTTTTTTATGTTAATTTCCGTGTAGAATTAAATCTTTAACTGATCGAAGCAAGACGAAAAGCTCAAAATAAACCCATCAATACTCTTTGACGCTTGGTCAATGCCGGGGAACTTTTATGAAAACTATGAACAATCGACCGCGCGGCTACCGACTGAACCATATGAACATACGATTCTCTCCTTGCTCGTAAGGTGTCTTTTCATCAGTCGGGGAAAACATCAACGCAACATTGCTCGTCATTATTTCCATTGTTTTAGGTTAGGGTAGCAAACCATTTGGCTTTTTATAGGGTTAGAAGAGCTGCATGACCTCTCTCCCCGGAATGAAGAAAAACAATATGGCCGCCAAGTACATCCTTTAGTTTTTAAAGTCCTCCTTTATTAAGAACAGACGTTGAACATTTATTTCGGCAAACAAACAGTTAAGTTGAAAAAGGATTATGCAAAAGTCTCAAGAGTAGGTCTCCTGTTTCGATTTTAACTTGCAAAATCGGTCAATTTACGCAACTTTTAAACTTCTGGCTCAGTTTTAGTTTGGTTCTGGTCTGAAAATGGGATAATAATTACTCAGAGACAATACAGTGTAAAGAATTGTTGAGAAAAACAGCAAAAACTTGCCAATTTATGACAAAAAAGGTACTTTAAAAACGAACTGTACGAATTCAAAACTAGTAGGTAGAACATTACTTTCCCGCAATTTTTTTCTGCCGTGTGATAAAAGGTTGACTCTCTACAGCCCTCGGCCTAGTCTCCCAACGTTTTCGCTCCTGCTCATTACCCCCTAAATGCCGGACGTCAACTGGTTATTTTTAGATGCCCCACGCAATTAAAACTTCATATATGCTATTTGTTTTTAACTCGTTAATGAAATCTTGTCACAGCAACAAAAAAATGGCCTGCGTTGCAGCCGGCCCGCGCATCGTCTAAACCAGTTGTATAGACCGTCTACGAATTAGTGCACAAAAGGTCGTTCTAAATATCCTGCAAAGTCGCAATGATATATGTGAGCTTTTCTGATAGGTGGGTTTTTTACGCGTCTCACGATTGGCCCAATTCTAACGTTTGTGTGACGGTTGGGTGCAGACTAGCGACGATAACCAATGAAAGAACAGTGCGAATTGGAAGCCTTCTTCTGAACAAAAAATATGTTTTGAAACAACTCCTTCGAGGCCAAAATGTGTTTGTAAATTTGCGACTGGTTTTCCAGTCTCTTCCAATCGCTGCAGATGCATTGCCGCGTATTCTCCAATCTAGCCGACAGTTCTAGCGTCAAAGCAAATCAGGAAATCATAATCAGCCAAAAAAATACACACACTGCACGTCGCTATTCAGGTCCAGGCATTTCAAACTAACCGGTTTCATGGACTCAAAGCTGCAAAAATAAGATTTGCTCAGTCAAAGTTTAGAATACTGCTTGCACTGCATAATCTACGCTATAAGAGAGAAAGCAGAAAAACCTCTGTTGTTCAAGCTGACTCTAAGGTCACGTTTCACACTATCACGAGTTCATTCTCTCTTGTCACGAGCTATGAGTCGTGTTTGGCCTGTCAACACTTAATTCAAATCGAACTAATCACAAACTGCGTAAGATACTAGCCAATCAATAACGCCGACATATGTCCTTGCGACTCTGCGGGATTCGAACACGATATTGTTCACTAATTCGCAGACGCTCTATACAGAAGGGTTAGAGCGTCTGCGACGCAGGCTACAAAAAAACTTTATTCGGAAATAGTCAAAACTGACTGATGATGTCATTACCTGACATGGGAAGGTATTTTACGGCAAATGTTATCCTTGTTGTGGTCTGACAGCCTTCTACGTATAAAAATTACCTCAAAGGATTCTTTGAGATTTTTGCTGATAATTATAATTTACTTTTATTATAATTATTATTATACTTATACTGTCCTTGAAGATCTGATAATAGTCAAGAGAATTTGCTAAAATCCTATTTGTAGCCATAGCCTTTTGTAACGCTTTTCGTTCTCCTCTGACGAAGCGCACCTTACTTTCAGTAAGAAAGTGAAATTAACAGTTCCTAGCCCAGTAGTTCCAGAAAGGTCTATTGAGCACACTCAAAAGCGACTAACACGTGAACCAAGACCGCTTGAATTGGCTGCTTGCGTTCAGCCATATAATCCCGGCAGTATCAGCCATGGACCAAGCGTTATTGACCAAGCATCAGGTCAAGGGGTTGAGTATTGGCCAAGTCCTTTTTGTTTGCGTTTTAATAGATGGAGACGAAGTCGAGGTCAATAAAAACGCAAAAACGAACAAGGTCAATATCCATTTATCTTGACCGAACAAGCTTAGTCAATAAAGGATTTACAGTATATGGCCAAAAAGATACATAGGGCTCTCCACCCCAGTGGGGCGTGAGCTTTACAAATTCAATTGTAACTACTTTTTCCATTTTTCCATGTGGCAGGTTGGGCGAAAATGATGTAACACAAGAATGACAGCAAGAGATTGCTGGAACATTTAGATGCGTTAAGAAATTATAAAACATTTAGCGATGAACTCGAGCCTTCAAATTCAGGATAAATTTCCTCCGACTTGTACCATCTACGAGAGGATCGGTGGCAAACCAGAAGATTATTCCAATTTAGCCTACGCTATTTTTACTGTGATGATAATAATCAATGTCGCAACGTTTCCTTTTACCATTGTGTTGAATCTGTTGGTGATGATCGCTGTCAAAACCAGGGTGAGGCTACAAAGTATGTCAAACATCCTATTGGCTTGCCTGGCATCTACTGATGTTATGGTCGGTTTAGTTGTCCAGCCTCTTCGTGTTGCCCTTTTTATAACACTCCTAAAAGACGATACCACAAGCGGTGGTTGCTTAGTACATGTCTTGGCAGCAGTTTTCTCGTTGATCTTGTACCTCGTTTCAGTTGAGCATCTATTACTAATGACCATAGATCGATACTTCGCCATTATGCGTCCCTATAGTTACGATCGAACTGTCACCAAAGCTCGCGTGATAAGTGGTTCTTGTCTTTCATGGATCTTGATTGCGGCTAAACAAATTTTATGGCTTCTTAACCGAGACCTTTTTATAATTGTCAATAGCGTTATCTTACTTTTACTTCTGGTGGGCATTGTTGTCTGTAATGTGATACTGTACTTTGAGGTTCGACGACATGAAAAGCAAATAGCAGACCAGCAAGTTTCATTGGAGGCAAGAGAAAACTTTTTAAAGCAAAAGCGAGCTTTTAAACTGACAGTGAGTGTTGTTGCACTGTTGTTTATCAGTTATCTGCCCATTTTTATTTTCAGAGCAGTTAAGGAGCCCTTAAAAAACAACATTTCTTTAGGTACATTTTGTGCTCTTTATCTTATCCCTGGTTCCTTGGCAGCTTTAAACTCTCTTATGAATCCCTTCATTTATAGTATTAGATCAAGGCAATTTCGTATAGCATTTATTGAACTGATGATGAGTAAAAGCTACAGCGAAGCTAACGAATTCGAAAAGAAATTTTTTGGTTCAAATGCTGTGGCTAATGGAGCATCCCAAAGCAGTGCAACTAGACGTACGACAGAAAAGCAGGAGGGGACAGGAGCGGAACATTATGTCAACCAAAACGATATGAACATAATAGATGGTGAAGCAAACCAGGGAGACAACAGAGAGGAGTTACACTTTGTCAACTGAGGCGATACTATAGCAAAACAGATGTTAGAAAATTCAGGCCTAAGCTGGTTAAAAGTTGGATAGTGCTATCCAGCGGATAAATCACTACTCAGTGGTTAAGTATTAGGAAAACCAAATTGTCTTTTCCACTGGATAGCGGTGTATCTAGTGGATAGCACTCTTACCTTTTTGTGTAACTGGGGCCAGGGAGGGGAGAGATAGGAACGTGATTTTAACTACATCAGTTCTATCCTCGACATAAAAACATTAGACATGGAGAAAAATCAAATCGTGTAATTATCAAGGAGAACAATAGCAAAATAACATGAGAATGATGGTGTAAACCCGGCCAGCCGAGAGGTCATCATAGATGTTGAAACAAACCAAGGAGAGGAGAAACTATAGAGAAACTTAGCTTAGATGAACAAAAGAGGAGTAGAACAACCACACAATCCGATGAAAGCCCATTCAGTCGATTGGGACAAACTAGACTTTGTAATACAAAGGAGTGTAGTTAGTGCAAAGAGATCAACGTGTTGCGGAGTCCGCGGACACTTTAATAGCCTATGACATGACCTCTACTTAGCCTTACCGTCAAATGTATATAGCTGAGGGAAAATCTTTCTGCTAAAAGGGGAAACCTAAACTAAAGCACACATAAAATATACAGAAAACTAAAGGGCGCTAACTATTTGTCAGAACTGCCCCGTTAGACCAGTCCAGTCGTCAGAAGAATATCCATTATTAATCAGAACTATCACGCCAGGTCACTAAATTCCTAAATGGTATGCAAAGCAGTGAAGAATTTTAACCAGAGGATTCAAAGCAATTCAAATTTCGATTTCCACACTTCTCACGGCGCGGGCTGTCACCCACCCCACCCTAAGAAGATTTTATTAATAAAATACTTTCCATAGTCCTTGAACCTTCTTTAGTACACTGGACAAAACTGTTCTGGATTGACGTTTTATTATACAAAAATAAAACCAGCCAAGTAACCTCAATTATTTATGCTTTTTTTGCTTTCGAACTTTATCAAATTTCACACATGGAAAAAATATTCTCATGTTGATCACGCAAGGAGGACTTGCGTTACGGCGTATCCAAACATGGTAACGAAATCACAAAGGTTTGCAAAATCAACGTGATTTCTTGGAAAAGAGAATCACAAAACGAAGTGTTGTTATGTTAAAAATATCGTGACGTGTTTGTGGATGTTTTGAAAAGAATTCGACTGAAAACGAAGTGTTGTCAAAGGATAACAGTGCTGCATGTCAATAACTCGCTCCGAGTTGTCTTCGCTGCACGACAACACTTCGTTTTTAGTGAAAGTATTTGATTTGTTTTTCATAGAAATCACGTGATTTTGCGTACCTTTGTGATTTCGTTAAGTTTGGATACACCGTAACGCAAGTCCTCCTTTCGTGATCAACATGAAAATGTTTTTCCATTTGTGGATTTTAATAACGTTTAAAGTACAAAAATATCATTAAGGTTCCGTGGCTTATTTTATTTTTGTATAGTAATTCGTCAATGGTGAACTGGTCTTGTTTTTGCATACAAAGATTTGAGCATGTTTTCTTTGGGAAGATTTGTTGCATGATCATCATTATCATCATCATCATCATCATCATTATCATTATCGTCATCATTATTATTATTATTATTATTATTATTACAAGGGATACCGGTGAAAGAAAATTATAATTATTTTACACTATATAGGGTCATATAAAGCTTGACGTTTAAACCTTAAAATAACTTAATTAAAAAGGGTTAGCTTTTTCGTCCTTCCTCGTCGATATTTACATGTATACAGCGAAGTAACGGTTCGAGGTTGTCCGCTATAGTGAAAAGTGATTCCCTCCCCCCCCCCCCCTCCCTATCTGAAGGTCTTGATCCGCCAATGAGTACAATGTAATAGTCTGGGACAACAGGCTTCCTGGTCATCACTGTGCTATCTTTGTAGTACCAGGGTATCCATATGCCTTGAGGATGAAAATTGACTGCTCTTATTTATATACAAATCATATCAACACACAGTTGATAATGAAGGGTCCTCATTAGCGCGGGTTGACTGTCTATGAGAATCTGTTGATTGGGCAAGAAACAAGCGTCCGTTGTCCTCATGAACGGGTGTCCGTATTAAACGGGTTGGATTTAGAGAGTGTAACGGCCTTCCCCAGGCACAAAAGAAAACTGTCCGTGATAAGCGGCTGTCCGTAAAGCGGGGTTCGACTGTATTGAATGAGGCTGAGTATGGTGTGAAGAGTTGAGCAGATCGAGGAGACTGTTATCCACCGAGGAGAAGACCAAGGTGGGTAACAGCCTCCAAGATCACTGCATAACTCTTCACATTACACGAAAGCCGAATTCAATAATTGTTTTATTACTCGTTCAAAATATTTCAAAGTTCTTAACAGGCTTACCTCCTCGTAGACTTTTTTCGAAACTTAAGCCTATTTCTCGGCACGGACTCAGGATATAAATAGATCGTTTTTTTTCCTGCAGATACTCCTCAAAAAATAGATAACATCCATCGATATGTCTTGCGTATTATTGCATCTCTTCCGTTCAATTTTAGTCAGAAATTCAGCTATACCTCTTCGGATGACCGTGATCGCTATTTTTTTTAGTTCACTCGTCAGTGAATAAACTGCTAGGCGGGCGCACCTGGAAAGGGTGTTGATCGATGGTCTACCGCCCATGTACCCTCGTTTGCAGGCAAATATACCATCGATCAACCTCGTTTCTTAGCCAATACACCATTGACTCGATGGTAAATTACCTGCATCTTCCAAATTTGGTCAACGCCGATTGGTTATGAAGAATTACCAGGGGGGCTTTGAACCAATCAAAAACGACGAAGTATTTTATTTGGATGAATAATAATAACGGAGGGTTCAAAAGTCTTAAGCGATTCTGGCCTTACTTGATGGCTTTTTAATTATATTGCATTTTATATTTGTTTATTTGTTTGTTTGTTTTTTTCTGGATTAATTAAGTCGAGCGTTGTTTATGCCGTTTTACGCACGTTGGTAAGATTTGAGACAATGATCTAACCTAGTACAAAACTGAACAAGTCTTTAGACATTTTCTGACCGCGACTAGAAAGAAAACGTGTTAAAGAATATTTAGTCATATTCTTGCCTCGAGTTCATATTGAAAAATAGCAAACACGGCGATTTTATTTTAACAGGGACACGTCACTCTCTATACATGTCTTCGTGAATCAAAAATTCTGTCCATTTAAATTTTTCATTGAATTATATTTCTTGTCTTCATTGTTTGACAAGGTCTCTTTCTTATCGCTTTGCCGGTTGTTTTCAGTCGTACATGAACGTAGCATGCAGGAGTACTCAAAATGCCGCGCGTTTCAAGTGGTTCTAATGATTATGGTGTTTTAGAAGTAAAATGCAAACGAGAATGACTCCAAAACCTCTTCCTACTAGGACAAATAAGTACTTATTTTATTTTGAAGCACAACTCTATTACCGCGTACAAACTGTTCATTAGCTTTCATTCAAACACCCGACAGCTCGCTTGCAAGTTTGGCGCTTTGCAAAATTCAGAAGTGGTTGGCCGGACGAGTGATTTTGGAAATTGGAGAAAATAAGATTTTTTGAAAGTTTTTGCTAAAGCCTATTATTACCCTGCGTACTACATAATGGCACATTGACCTGACTGAACAGTACCGTCCAAAAGTGAATTCTCTATATGAAAATGTCTTATGTTGTTGTCATTTTACAATTCGTTTTGCAAGGGAAGCGCGGGCTTTGATCGTCCTGAATATTGAATGAGTGCAATTTGTTTTGTAAGAAACTGCAAAATTATAAGTAAAATAGAGCAAAAATGACATAACCTCCGTCCGAAGTCTGAACTAAAAACAAACAACGCCTGATAGTTCTGTTTACCTCAGAGGTGATGTAAAATTAGGCTGGTTTACGTGCTACCAGATTTGTAAAGTAAACTCGTAGTAAGTCACACAAGAAAAATCCGTCCTGATTTTTCGTTTTAGCCTTTCCTTTAGACAGAGAAATAAAATCGTTAAGTAATAACGTGTAAATTGGCTGCCACTGAGGACTCTCGCGTCTCAATTATAGCATAAAACTATATTTCGGGATTGTCCGATTACCCTTATAATATACTTAGGTGGTGTAGGTGGGCAAATAGGTTATTTTGCTTGGGAAGAATTTGTTTTCCACGCCTAAACTAACCCTTGCACTGTTTGCAGAATTATGTTTTCTCTAAAATCATCAAGTCCCACCCTTTAAAGTCGTATGGATCTCTCCAGTTAACTGATTTGTGGATAATTTACAAGTTTTATTGTTTGATTTAATATATATAAAATTTATTAAACTGGGGCTCAGCGTTTTAAGCCCTGGCTAAATCTATATGCAATCCGAAGGAATTACTTTAATAAGTGGTCCATATGAGTTTGGGACACCTGTAATATAAATGGCCCTATTATGAATCATTTCCATACTCACAAACAATGAAAATTTAAATTTAAACTAAGGATAAAGATAAGCCACAGCATACACGGTCACACATCCATGTGTGACCAAGCCATTTTTGCAATAAAGGCATGCACTAACAACTGAAATCTCCCGTAAGCAACCAGCCAATCATGGCATTTTAGTGGTTTAATAGAATTCACTATTCTGAGAAATTTAGAATTCTAAAACTAACCATCCGTAGAAAAAAATCGAGAAAATCGGGAAAGCCGAAATAAATTTCTCAAAGCAAATGTAATTTGTTTGTTTACCAGTACGATTATGGGATTAACACTAATTTAAAGAGCTCTCAAAAACTTGTTTCAAAGTGTTCGTACGGTACGTTCGAATTGTAACTTAAAAGTGTTGGTTTTTGAGGAGAGGGAAAAACTGCGTAATGCCCTGAGAAAAGCAACTGACTCAGTGCAAGAGAGAGAACCAACAGAAAACCTCACGTCCCAGTCAAACGTACGGCATTTACGCCGATCTAGATTTGAACCCTCAAGGCGCGACCTTTGCTTTTCTGATTAAATGTACTTGATTCCAATTCCAACAGACTACTTTGCGAGAATAAAAAAGTTTAGTTTACCTCTGTCCAAAGACAAGCAAATATATCACTGTTCTAGCTCCTTACGTTTGGCCTCACGCGTCCTGTTGTAATTAATTCTATTTTAACTGATAAAGAAATTTTTATTGCTACGTTTTGCAGTGATTACTGTTGATTTCAATGAAGTAAAATAAGTAATGGTAATCCAGCTATTGATCCAAAATAATAGAGTCGGCCCTATTATATTGCTCTGGTATCGTTCTATACTTACTAATTTTTTTCACACACACATTCATTTGGACCTGCAGTATTAACGACCGGTCAAAAATGCAATGTTTGTGTAGTCGCCTTTAGGGGATAGTCGCTTACTCGAGGGCTTTATAGTCTTCTGACTGGACATAAATTTCTTTCAGTACGTTGTCACACGCGACGGTTCGACAGGCTTTATTAAAATAGTACTTTCAAGTACAATTTGCCGCCCATCAAGTCAGATCACATCTTAATTCTTTTTTAAGTATGGATGTATTAATGCCCATCTGTCTTAAATTTTAAGTTCTCACCATAATTATATATAAAGTCCTTACTGTAAGAAAAGTTTTTCTCATATAATAAATACTCAGTCTTGTACGATTTTGCTATCAGCATTTTCATCCCGTCAGACATCAGTGCTATTTACGAGGGAAAACTATCAATACCATTCTCCAGTTTTACGACTGAACGTCGCAGGAGGTAAGGTTGTACAAATAAGAAAAATATCTACTTAGTACGGATTCTATTTAATACTACAGGAATTAGTTTCAAAATTTTATCTCTAAAAATGACTGTTTTTGGCCTTGTTTTGTTTTTGAACTTTCGTTTTTTCGAAGCATATAAACAAACCGATATCCTCAGTTATTGTCCTGACTGATTTTGTCGTAAATTATTCCTGAAAAACCGCGAGGGGATGGATAAGAAATATTACTTTTATCATTTTATATGTCAGTTCGATCGATCACTGTTCAAAACTCGTGATCCCGAAAGCAAACAGAAAACATTCATAGTTAAAAAATTTATCTCACTGCTATATCAATCGAACTTGCTCAAAGCTTACAGAGGAATTGTCGTAAGCCTTTGAAATCCAGTGTCTCCGGAATCAGAGCGCAAAAAGATCATAAAACAGCTACTCCGTTTGATAAAACAGAAGTAAAAAATAAATAGAGTCAGATATAATATAACCGTTACGGCTCTTACTTCGGTCGAAATAATCCTCTGTTGATATTTGCTCTTTTTCGGTATTTTTTCTTCAGATGAAAGGTCATGTTCAGACTTTTGTTTTGACCAGAAATGCTTGAACGGAGGGGATCGATCCGGTGTCTGTAACCAGCTCATTTTGTAATTTCGGACATAACATGCAAGCGGGACTTTGCACACTGCTTCAAAACCCAAAAGGAATTCTACGCCCCAATCCATTGTTCATGTACAGCAAAGAGAAAAAAGTCCATCGATCGAGATTTATACATTTTAAAGCTTTCACTTCAGGTGTTTGAGAGAAGAAAATCATTTCCAAAGCAAATCGACTATACTGAATATTTTATTCACCGCGCTATCTTAAACCTTACAAACAAGACCACGCGATGACTTCTGACAAAATATTCGCAGACGTTAAGATCTTCTCTAAATATAGAACTTATCTCTCTATTTCTGCCTTCTAGGTGCGTCATTTTTGCTAAAATTGAAACTTAAATCGACGATTAAGCTGGGTGATACATGATGGCAGTGTCCAGTATTTATTTACTAAAAATTACCGGTAGATTCGCTATGATACAGACCACCTTTTTTATATTCCTGTAAACTTTGCTTTTAATCTACCACATTATGTTACTAGCTTTATGCACGACACAGGTAAAAAAGAGAGTAAAAAAGAGATTGTAACTGAAAAAGAAAAAAAAAAAAAGGTTATAAGAAATTTGCTTCAAGGGGATTCGAACCCTCAGAATCAGTAATAACTAAAAGTTAAGGCCTCTCTACACTGGACCACATTGGTAAACGCTGATATTTCGAGTTTAAAAGAGGTATATATTCCTTCTCTACGGTTATTGACAGTTTTCAAGGATGACTTCTTCTTTTTTTTTTTTTGTTAATTTCCGTTTAGAATTAAACCTTTAACTGATCGAAGCTAGACGAAAAGCTCAAAATAAGCCCATTAATACTCTTTGAGGCTTGGTCCACGCCGGGGAACTTTTAAGAAATTTATGAACTATCGATCGCGCGGCTACCGATTCAACTGTATGACCATGCGATTCTCTCCCTGCTCGTAAGGTGTCTTTTCAACAGTCGGGGAAAACATTAACACAACTTTGTTCATCATTATTTCCATTCTTTTAGGTTAGGGTAGCAAACCATTTGGCTTTTTATAGGGTTAGAAGAGCTGCTATATGTCCTCTCTCCCCGGAATGAAGAAAATAATATGGCCGCCTAATACATCCTTTTAGTTTTTAAAGTTCTCCTTTATTAACAACAAAGGTTGAACATTTATTTCGGCAAACAAACAGTTAAGTTGTAAAGATATTTTACAAAAGTCTCAAGAGTAGGTCTCCTGCTTCGATTTTAACTTGCAAAATCGGTCAATTTACGCAGCTTTTAAACTTCTGGCTCAGTTTTCGTTTGGGTCGATCCTGCTTTGAAAATGGGATAATAATTACTCAGAGACAATACAGTGTAAAGAATTGTTGAGAAAAACAGCAAAAACTTGCCAATTTATGAAAAAAAAAAGGTACTTTAAAAACGAACTATACGAATTTACAACGCTTTGATCACGTGACTGATGACGTCATGTCCCTCTTTTGGTCATGAAAAAAATTATCGGGTAGAACATTACTTTCCCGCAGATTTTTCCTGCCGTGTGATAAAAGGTTGACTCTCTACAGCCCTCGTCCTAGTCTCCCAACGTTTTCTCTCATGTTCATTATCCCCATAAATGCCGGACGTCAACTGGTTATTTTTAGATGCCCCACGCAATTAAAACCTCATATATGCTATTTGTTTTTAACACGTTAATGAAATCTTGTCACAGCAACAAAAAAATGGCCTGCGTTGCAGCCGGCCCGCCCATCGTCTAAACCAGTTGTATTGACCGTATACGTATACGAATTAGTATACGAATTAGTGCACAAAAGGTCGTTCTAATATCCTGCAAAGTCGCAAGAATGTATGTGAGCTTTTCTGATAGGCGGGTTTTTTACGCGTCTCACGATTGGCCCAATTCTAACGTTTGTGTGACGGTTGGGTGCAGACTAGTGACGATAAACAATGAAAGAGCAGTTCGAACTTGGAAGCCTTCTTCTGAACAAAAAATATGATTTAAAAGAATTCCTCCGAGGCCAAAATGTGTTTGTAAATTTGCCGACTGGTTTTCCAGTTTCTTCCAATCGCTGCAGATGCATTGCCGCGTATTCTCCAATCTAGCCGACAGTTCTAGCGTCAAAACAAATCAGGAAATCATAATCAGCCAAAAAAATACACACGCTGCACGTCGCTATTCAGGTCCAGGCATTTCAAACTAACATCCTACGTTCTTCGGTATATTCGTTTGCGGTCCTTTGTAGTCCCTTGTGGTTAATGTTTGTATTTCAAACTAACCAGTTTCATGGACTCAAAGCGGCAAAAATAAGATTTGCTCAGGCAAAGTTTAGAATACTCCATGCACTACATAATCTAGCTATAAGAGAGAAAGCAGAAAAACCTCTGTTGTTCAAGCTGACTCTAAGGTCACGTTTCACACTATCACGAGTTCATTCTCTCTTGTCACGAGCTATGAGTCGTGTTTGGCGTGTCAACACTTAATTCAAATCGAACTAATCACAAACTGCATAAGAATCTAGCCAATCAATAAACGCCGACATATGTCCTAGCGACTCTGCGGGATTAGAACACGATATTGTGCATTAATTCGCAGACGCTCTATACAAAAAAGGTTTAGAGTGTCTGCGACGCAGGCTACAAAAAAAAACTTTATTCGGAAATAGTCAAAACTGACTGATGATGTCATTACCTTAGATGTGACATGGGCAGATATTTTATGGCAAATTTTATCTTGTTGTGGTCTGACAGCCTTCTACGTATAAAAATTACCTCAGAGGATTCTGGGAGATTTTTTATGATAATTATAATTTACTTTTATTATAATTATTATAATTATACCTGGATTTTTGAAAACCGGGTTAGCAAAAATATCAAGTCATTCTACTACTTGGTAATTTAAAACAACAAAACTCATTCAAAGGCCGATTAAAAGCCTTTATATCACGCCGGACAGTGCGTTAATGGTCCCTAGAAGCATTCCAACGAGTCCAAATTTAGAATGACGCAAATTTTAGAACATTTATTCAGTAAACTGACTTCGCGAAGTTTCAAACCGGTGTCATTTCAGTCTAGAAATTTTTAAGTTGAGTGAGCTGCAGCGAAAGAGTGCCTGGTTAAGGCTTACATGACAACTTAAATAGTTAGCAAAACACCACTTTTTGGGCGGTCCGATAAACAACAGGATTCCGCATGGAATAGACTACAAACTGAATGAAACATAGTGTACAAATTATCACCTTCTTATCTGCAAAAACCGGCCTATGGTGCAATGCCATTAGAGCCCGCTGAAACTAGACCTAGGTCCAATTTTTCTGAGTCGAGAGTTACTTTTCCAAGGTACAATCAGCTAAGCTAAACACCGACGAAACAATATTAATGGCTGGCACAGAATATTTTGGCGAAACCGCAGTTCAACCACGCGATCACATACCTGTCAACACCATGCGGAAATCACACAATCACACACTTTCGCGGCACTGATAAGACTATCCACAACCACGCATAATCTTCTCACGTTTAACATAAGCGAAATATCATCGAATAACTCGGAAAAACTCAGCCTATTGCCAGATAAACACCTCTGGACCTTTCCCTTACACTCGTCTTATTCAAGTTCCCGGATGTAGAGTCACACGGTCGGCGGATCACCTTAGCCTTCTTTTCACACCAGAAAAATACTAAGTCTTGGCCCGGGTCAAAGTTCAGCTGCAATTTTCCTCTCAACTAATTCATTTGACTCCTAAGAGCCTGTTCCCGAGGCCAAAGACTTAGTGGTCACCTTAGAAAAGCGAACAATATCGTACCTTTCTGTCTCAGCCCGGATCAGGGAGATTAATCCGTTTAGCCAAATGAAACGAGAATATAATACGATATTGGACGATGCAGACTCTGCGAATCGTAATAACTTTGTCCCATCTCAGAGCTTTACATGATGCTCTCCGGGAAACTTTTCTCAAGGTGACCAATATATAAAACTAAACTGCTAAACAGCACCGAAACCAGCCTTAAGCACCCGCTGATTTCAAACTGATAACTGTCACTTGTGTTAAAGAAAGAATTGTGGGTAGGGAAAAAAAAATGGGGGGGGTTAGATAGTAATTCTGTCTACATCCACTTCTACACAAATCTCTAACCACAAGACAAGCCAAAAAAACAAACGACATAAGCAAACAACACAGTAAACAAGCTATTAGACAGCGGACGTTGAAAAAAATTACAAAATGTTTGCTAACCCGGTTTTCATAACTCCAGGTAGAATTATTATTATACTTATACTGTCCTTGAAGATGTGATAATAGTGGAGCTCCGCGTGCGAAGCGCGCCTGCGGAGCACCATGGGTAAATAAATCTACCCATCCCAGAAAATTTGGTAATCACGTGACCGACCGACCGACCGACCGACCGTCCGTCCGTCCGCACCACAGGCATACCAATGTTTACTCTCACACTTTCTTGTTACGTTGGAAGCCCAGGAGAAAGCTGACTGCACATCAATGTTGTCATCAATTGACAGCTGTCAAAACAGGGTATCCGCTGACCAGTGTCACCTGACCGTATCGCGGGCTCAGTTGTAGACCCATCAAGGTCGAGTGTTTTTTTGAAGTTATCCGCTGACAATTTACTCGTTTTCAAATGATCGCAGGCTCACGTTTACTTTTTTTAAATTCATATCAAATATGTTGTGTTTATGTCAGTATCGTCCCGCACTATTACGATTTTTGATTTCAAACTGACCTGAGACGCAAAAATTCAGCCAGTTTTTTTAAAATACGGGTGCGGAAGACCTTTTCTTACCATGGTCACGTGTTGATCACGCTCCACGTCCAATTTTTATGCTCTGATTGGTTAAAATTTGACAGGTGAGTTTATGCGTAAAATTTATGCAGCATCTTGAAAGTTGTTTACTTTGACAGCTGAAGCTGACAGAGTTTGAGTCAGCTTGTGACGTTTTTAACTGTCTTTTTCCACTGGATGTACAAAATGAAATACAGCTGCTATCAAGAGTGTTCTCTTATTCATGGCTGGTTTGTTTATTGGGTTTTTGGTTGAGAGATGCGTCGCTTGTCAAAGCCGCTAATCCGATTTCGGATGGCATCGTTTTTGTTTTTCAACTTGCTGGATGCGTACGAAAATTATAAAGGCTCAAGCGATCCTTGCCTTACTTGATAGCTTTCAGGAGCTGCATCTCGAATTATGGTAAGCCTGAGTAATTATTGTAATTAAATATAATTTCATGAAGTCCAGCGGCGCAGTTTATGAAGCTAGTTTATGCACGTTTGTATTATGATTTGACTGAGACACTGATCTGACCTAGAGTGAGGTTTGATATAAGCTTAAGCTTATAGAACTTTAAAAATGCCTTTAGTCGATATTAATTCACCGTAAATAGAAAGAAAAGACTTTCCGAAGAAAATTTAGTTACAATTTTGGCTGTAGAAAGAAAGCTTTGAGCGATTTTCTGGTCTTGAGTTCATCTTTGAAAACAGCAAACACGGGAAACAGGCGGCTTAAAACGTAAACTTAATCTTTAATCTTACTAGTAAAGACTTGAGGATTCTTAGAGACACTTAAATACTCATTTGTTTTCGTGAATGAAAATTGTTCTCTCTGTAAATGTTCTACCGAATTATATTTCTTTATTGATTGTTGGTAGTCTCAAAAGTGTAATTTCCATCGCTTTGCCGTTTGTTTTCAGACGTTCAAAAACATCGCTTGCAGGAGTACTCAAAATGCCGAGCGTATCAAACGCTTTTTAAGATTACACATCGTTATAAAACCATTAATAAAAAATAGACTCAATAAATTCTTTATCACGCTGAAGCGTAACTCTTTTAAAGTTTCTTCGCAAATTTGGCGCTTGTCAAAAGTTAGAACCGGCTGGCCGAATAGATGATTTTGGAAATTTTTTGAACGGTTTCGCTAATTAAAAGTCCACGTTTGCTTCGATGGTCCTGAATATTGATTGAATTCAATTTGTCTTGAAAAATTATGAAATACTGCATTTTGTACGAGGTCTGTATGATAAAAACAGCACCTCATAGTGCTCTTTCTCCTCAGATGTGGTGTATAAAAAAAATATATAAAAGATTGGTTTGCACGCACCCAGATTTATTGGCAAAAATTTGTAAACTTGTCGAACGCAAAAAATTCGACCTGATTTGTTTCCCAAGAATTTGTTTTCCACGCCTTATCTACTGTGATCAAGAGCCATTATTGCTCTTAAATGTGACCGAAGACTATTTTTTGGGTGTACTTATAAGGCTATATCAACTCGATACAAGATTTGTTTCACTCCAAAATCACTGAGCTTTTCCCTCAAAAGTCACATGAATGTGCCCTTAAGTTAACTGATTTGTGGAATACAAAATTATTGTTTGATTTAAGCTATAAATTTATCAATGGCAGCTTCGCTTTTAGCCGTGGCTAAATCTATATATATATTAGTCAAGAGAATTTGCTATAATCCTCTGTCTAGCCATAGCCTTTTGTGACGCTTTTCGTTCTCTTCTAACCAAGGGGCACCTTACTTTCAGTAACAAAATGAAATTAACTGTCCCCAGCCCAGTAGTTCCAGAACGGTCTATTGAGCACACGCAAAAGTAACTAACACGTGAACCAAGACCGCTTGGCTGCTTGCACACAGCCATATAACCCCGGCAGTATCAGCCATGGACCAAGCTTTATTGACCAAGCATGAGGCATGAGGGGTTAAGGATTGGCCAAGTCCTTTTTTTTTGCGTTTTAATAGATCGAGACGAAGTCGAGATCAATAAAAACGCAAAACAAACAAGGTCAATATCCATTTATCTTGACCGAACAAACTTGCTCAATAAAGGATTTACAGTATAAGGCCAAAAAGATAGATAGGGCTCTCCACCCCAGGGGGGCGTCAGCTTTACAAATTTAATTGTAACTACTTTCTAATTTTTTCCACTTGGCAGGTTAGGCGAAAATGATGTAACAGAAGAATGACAGCGAGAGATTACTGGAACAGTTAGATGCGTTAAGAAATTATAAAACATTTAGCGATGAACTCGAGCCTTCAATTTCAGGATAAATTTCCTCCGACTTGTACCATCTACAAGAAGATCGGTGGCAAACCAGAAGATTATTCCGATTTAGCCTACGCTATTTTTACTGTGATGATAATAATCAATGTCGCAACGTTTCCTTTTACCATTGTGTTGAATCTGTTGGTGATGATCGCTGTCAAAACCAGGGTGAGGCTACAAAGCATGTCAAACATCCTATTGGCTTGCCTGGCATCTACTGATGTTATGGTCGGTTTAGTTGTCCAGCCTCTCCGTGTTGCTCTTTTTATAATTCTCCTAAAAGACGAGACCACAAGCGGTGGTTGCTTAGTACATGTCTTGGCAGCAGTTTTCTCGTTTATCTTGTGCCTTGTTTCAGTTGAGCATCTATTACTAATAACTATAGATCGATACTTCGCCATTATGCGTCCCTATAGTTACGATCGAACTGTCACCAGAGCTCGCGTGATAAGTGGTTCTTGTCTTTCATGGATTTTAACTGCGGCTAAACAAATTTTATGGTTTCTTAACCGAGACCTCTTTACAATTGTCAATAGCGTTATCTTACTTTTACTTCTGGTGGGCATTGTTGTCTGTAATGTGATACTGTACTTTGAGGTTCGACGACATGAAAAGCAAATAGCAGACCAGCAAGTTTCACTGGAGGCAAGAGAAAACTTTTTAAAGCAAAGGCGAGCTTTTAAACTGACAATGAGTGTTGTTGCACTGTTATTTATAAGTTATTTGCCCATTTTTATTTTCAGAGCAGTTAGAGAGCCCATAAAAAACAACATTTCTTTGGGTACATTTTGTGCTCTTTCTCTTATCCCTGGTTCCTTGGCAGCTTTAAACTCTCTTATGAATCCCTTCATTTATTGTATTAGATCAAGGCAGTTTCGTGTAGCATTTATTGAACTGATGATAGGTAAAAGCTACAGCGAAGCTAAAGAATTCGAAAAGAAATTTTTTGGTTCAAATGCTGTGGCTAATGGAAAATCTGAAAGCAGTGCGACTAGAAGTACGACAGAAAAGCAGGAGGGGACAGGAGCGGTACATTATGTCAACCAAAACGATATGAACATAACAGATGGTGAAGCAAACCAGGGAGACAACAGAGAGGAGTTACACTATGCCAACTAAGGCGATATCATAGCAAAACAGATGTTAAAAATTCAGGCCTAAGCTGTTTAAAAGTTGGATAGTGCTATCCAGCGGATAAATCACTACTCAGTGGTTAAGTCCACTGGATAGCGGTGTATCTAGTGGATAGCACTCTTACCTTTTTGTGTAACTGGGGCCAGGGAGGGGAGAGATAGGAACGTGATTTTAACTACATCAGTTCTATCCTCGACATAAAAACATTAGACAGGGAGAAAAATTAAATCGTGTAATTATCAAGGAGAACAATAGGAAAATAACATGAGAATGATGGTGTAAACCCGGCCAGCTGATAGGTCATTATAGATGTTAAAACAAACCAAGGAGAGGAGAAACTATAGAGAAACTTAGCTTAGATGAACAAAAGAGGGGTACAATAACCATGCAATCTGATGAAAGCCCATTCAGTCGATTGGGACAAACTAGACTTTGTAATACAAACGAGTGTAGTTAGTGCAAAGAGATCAACGTGTTGCGGAGTCTGCGGACACTTTAATAGCCTATGACATAAAAATGACCTCTACTTAGCCTTACCGTCAAATGTATATAGCTGAGGGAAAATCTTTCTGCTAAAAGGAGAAACCTAAACTAAAGCACACATAAAATATACAGAAAACAAAAGGGCGCTAACTATTTGTCAGAACTGCCCGGTTAGACCAGTCTAGTCGTCAGAAGAATATCCATTATTAATCAGAACTATCACGCCAGGTCACTAAATTCCTAAATGGTATGCAAAGCAGTGAAGGATTTTAACCAGAGGATTCAAAGCAATTCAAATTTCGATTTCCACACTTCTCACGGCGCGGGCTGTCACCCACCCCACCCTAAGAAGATTTTAATAAAATGCTTCCCATAGTCCTTGAACCTTCTTTAGTACACTGGACAAAACTGTTCTGGATTGACGTTTTATTATACAAAATAAAACCAGCCAAGTGACCTCAATTATTTATGCTTTTTTTGCTTTCGAACTTTATTAAATTTCACACATGGAAAAATAGTCTCATGTTGATCACGCAAGGAGGACTTGCGTTACGGCGTATCCAAACATGGTAACGAAATCACAAAGGTTTGCAAAATCAACGTGATTTCTTGGAAAAAAGAATCACAAAACGAAGTGCTGTTATGTTAAGAATATCGTGACGTGTTTGTGGATGTTTTGAAAAGAATTCGACGGGGAGAAAAACTTAAGGATTTGGCCACTGAAATATGGCACTTTCTTCAGACTTTCGTCATCTGAAACTCAGCTTCTTGCCACTACATCGGTCCTCCATTTGTTTTGAAGATGGCGGCCTGTTGTTCGCGCTTCGCACCAGCCACGAAATGCTGCTGTGTTAAAGCACAAAGCGCAGTCGACCAAGAACTTCAGACACTGATATTTCGGCCTCTCGAATAATTGCTGGACCTTATTTCTCTGCTCTTCTCCCAGGAGCTTATCATTTCCTCACATTCTGTTGCACAATAGCTTGAAACAACTCTGTTGGATTTGCCTCGTGGCCCTTCGGTGGAAGCATCACAACTTGAATATTTAACTACTGATGTATCAAAGGATTACAGTGCTGCATGTCGATAACTCGCTCCAAGTTGTCTTCGCTGGACGACAACACTTCGTTTTCAGTGAAAGGTATTTGATTTGTTTTTCATAGATATCACGTGATTTTGCGTACCTTTGTGATTTCGTTACCAAGTTTGGATACGCCGTAACGCAAGTCCTCCTTTTGTGATCAAGATGAAAATGTTTTTCCATGTGTGGAATTTAATAACGTTTAAAGTACAAAAATATCATTAAGGTTCCGTGGCTTATTTTATTTTTGCACTGCTCTTGTTTTTGCATACAAAGATTTGAAAATGTTTTCTTTGGGAAGATTTGTTGCATGATCGGCTTGTAAAGACGGAATAACCAAGACTTCGTCTATGTCATTTATTACTATTATTATTATTATTATTATTATTATCATTATCATTATCATTATCATTACCACGATCACTATCACTATCTTCATCACTATCATCATCATCATCATCATCATTATCATTATCGTCATCATTATTATTATTATTATTATCTCTTTTATCACAGTCTTTGCTGGTGTTCTTTTTGTGCATCAGCTGGGTGCAAACCATGCACCTAGAGCGTCAGTCACTCAAGTCAATCATTCTGTTATTATTATTATTATTATTATTATTATTATTATTATAAGTGATACCGGTAAAAGAAAATTACAATTATTTTACACTATATAAGGTCATATAAAGCTTCACGTTTAGACCTTAAAATAATTTAGTTCAAAAGGGTTAGCTTTTTCGTCCTTCCTCGTCGATATTTACATGTATACACCGAAGTAACGGTTCGAGGTTGTCCGCTATAGTGAAAAGTGATTCCCTATACCCCCCCCCGCCTCCCTACTCCAGTGAGTACAATGTAATAATCTGGGACAACAGGCTTCCTGGTCATCACTGTGCTATCTTTGTAGTACCAGGGTATCCATATGCCTTGAGGATCAAAATTGACTGCTCTTATTTATATACAAATCATGTCAACACACAGTTGATAATGAAGAGTCCTCATTAGCGAGGTTGACTGTCTATGAGAATCTGTTGATTGGGCAAGAAACAAGCGTCCGTTGTCCTCATTAACGGGTGTCCGTATTAAATGGGTTGGATTTAGAGAGAATGTAACGGCTTTCCCCAGGCACAAAGGAAACTGTCCGTGATAAGCGGCTGTCCGTAAAGCGGGGTTCGACTGTATTGAATGAGGCTGAGTATGGTGTGAAGAGTTGAGCAGATCGAGGAGACTGTTATCCACCGAGGAGAAGACCAATGTGGATAACAGCCTCCAAGATCACTGCATAAGCTGAGTTCAATAATTGTTATATTACTCATTCAAAATATTTCAAAGTTCTTAACAAGCTTAACTCCTCGTAGACTTTTTTCGAAACTTAAGCCTATTTCTCGGCACGGATTCAGGATATAAATAGATCCTTTTTTTTCCTGCAGATACTCCTCAAAAAGTAGATAACATCCATCGATAACTATGTTTTGCGTATTATTGCATTTCTTCCGTTCAATTTTAGTCAGAAATTCAGCTATACGTCTTCGGATGACCGTGATCGCCATTGTTTTAGTTCACTCGTCAGTGAATAAACTGCTAGACGGGCGCACCTGGAAAGGAGGTTGATCGATGGTCTACTGCCCATGTAGCCTCGTTTGAAGGCAAATATACCATCGATCAACTTCGTTTCTTAGCCAAGACACCATTGAATCGATGGTAAGTTGCTTGCATCTTCCAAATTTGGTCAACGCCGATTGGTTATGAAGAATTACCAGGGGGGCTTTGAACCAATCAAAAACGACGAAGTATTTTATTTGGATGAATAATAATAGCGGAGGGTTCAAAAGTCTTAAGCGATTCTGGCCTTACTTGATGGCTTTTAGGAGCTGCATCTCGACTCAGTAAGCTTGAGTAATTATATTGCATTTTATATTTGTTTATTTGTTTGTTTTTTTTTTTCTGGATTAATTAAGTCGAGCGTTGTTTATGCCGTTTTACGCACGTTGGTAAGATTTGAGACAATGATCTAACCTAGTACAAAACTTAAAAAAGTCTTTAGACATTTTCTGACCGCGACTAGACAGAAAACGTATTAAAGAATATTTAGTCATATTCTTGCCTCGAGTTCATATTGAAAAATAGCAAACACGGCGAAGTCGGCTTAAAACTTTAGTTCAAATCTGCAAGATTTTATTTTTTCAGGGCCACGTCACTCTCAATACATGTCTTCGTGAATAAAAAATTCTATCCATTTAAATTTTCCATTGAATTATATTTCTTGTCTTCATTGTTTGACAAGGTCTCTTTCTTATCGCTTTGCCGGTTGTTTTCAGTCGTACATGAACGTAGCATGCAGGAGTACTCAAAATGCCGCGTGTTTCAAGTGTTTCTAATGATTATGGTGTTTTAGAGGTAAAATGTAAACGAGAATGATTCCAAAACCTCTTCCTACTAGGACAAATAAGTATTTCTTTTATTTCGAAGCATAACTCGATCTCTTACGGCGTACAAACTGTTCATTAGCTTTCATTCAAACACCCGACAGCTCGCATTGCAAGTTTGGCTCTTTGCAAAATTCAGAAGTGGTTGGCCGGACGGGTGAATTTCGAAATTGGAGAAAATAAGATTTTTCGAACGTTTTTGCTTAAAGCCCATTATTACCCTGCGTACTAAATAATGGCACATTGACCTGACTGAACAGTACCGTCCAAAAGTGAATTCTCTATATGAAAACGTCTTATGTTGTTGCCATTTTACAATTCGTTGTGCAAGGGAAGCGGGGGCTTTGATCGTCCTGAATATTGCAAGAAACTGCAAAATTATAAGTAAAATAGAGCAAAAATGACATAATCTCCGTCCGAAGTCTGAACTAAAAACAAACAACGCCTGATAGTTCTGTTTAGATCAGAGGTGATGTAAAATTAGGCTGGTTTACTTGCTACCAGATTTGTAAAGTAAACTCGTAGTAAGTCACACAAGAAAAATCCGTCCTGATTTTTCGTTTTAGCCTTTCCTTTAGACAGAGAAATAAAACCGTTAAGTAATAACGTGTAAATTGGCTGCCACTGAGGACTATCGTGTCTCAATTAAAGCATAAAACTATATTTCGGGATTGTCCAATTACCCTTATAATATACTTAGGTTGTGTAGGTGGACAAATAGGTTATTTTGCTTGGGAGGAATTTGTTTTCCACCCCTAAACTAACCCTTGCACTGTTTGCAGAATTATGTTTTCTCTAAAATCATCAAGTCCCACCCTTTA